TTCCATTTCATTCCAGATAATTATATATTTTTTATTAGACTATTTTTTTTGGTTTCTTTTCTTTAATTACTTTTTTGGAACGCTTCTTTTTTTTGAACATTTTGTTTTTGAGAGTTTAAGAGTAACAGAGAAACTAACCTTTTTAAGAGTAACCCAGGGCTGTTTAATGATATGAATCACTATTGAAGAGTAAAACATCACTGATTATCACTATTGAATATTTTTTTGTCAACTATCACTAGTGTCACTATTGAATCTCTATTCATCACTATTGATCACTTCAAGTCATTTATCACTGGAAGTAATTTATCTGAAGGCAACCACTCCAACCTTCCAATGGATGCCATCCCATCCCGAAACATCGGCAGGACGCCCGCCGCACGGTGGAACAGTGCCTCGAAGAGGAGAAGCTACGGCAGGATGAGATCCGGCAAGCTGAGGAGCGGCTGGTGCTTTTGGTCTCCATTTAGGATGGTGTTGAATGGAATATTATATATATATAATTGGGATCAGAAGGATACATATGATATATATCATTGGGATGATTGTTTATGATATTATATATATATATGCATATGGAATATCATTGGGATATATCATTGGTGTATATATATATAATTACACTCATTAATGGGACATTACTGGGACGATTTACATGGGATATTTTCATGGGATATGAATCTCTTCCCCACCAAGAGTGGTGGTTTAATGGGATTATCATTGGATTGTACCTCAGAAACCACGGTCCCTGTGGGGATTTACGCATATTTGGGACCATAGAATGGGGATGTGAAATGTTGGAGGATGGGATTGGAATCCCCAGATTGATCAACTTCGCTCCGATTTTTTTTTTGGGTATATTCAAATTGCAATTGTCCGTTTATGCAGGGGTGGTGGCTTTCAAGCCTATTTGACGATGACAATCCAAATGACAATTGACGTTCATACATTCCGATGGGTGGCTCAACAAAACCAACCAGTTCTGGATGGTACTTGCATCTTTTGCTTCATTTTACCTGGTCCAACAATTTTTAGGTGGATATTGTATTATATATCTGAGCTACACCCTCTGGTAATTCATGGTAAATTCAGCCTGGCAAAGAAACATCCAGCCTGTTGGAAAAGGAAAGTCATCTGCCAAGAAATGGTTTTCCAGTCCCATATTATATTTGATTCCTGGAGAGTACTCCATGGTACTCCTCCGTTTCCGGCTACAAGACAAGCCAACTAACCAACCAACCTGGTGCCATATGGACTGGTGGTGGGTTGTTTGGTTGCTGGTGGAGGGGTGGAAGTGGAGTGGACATAAATATGAACAAGTTGGTAGATCTTGTGATGTTGGCTTAAAGAAGCATACGTGTTGTTTTCTTGACAGTTCAGCATTCTATTTCGCAAAGAACCGCCATTTTTGTGGGTCATTGGGTACCCCAAACCGGGATGGTTTGACCGTTTGACCCCAAACTGAGTCCACACCGTCAAGGAGAAACTCGCAGCTGTGGAGGAGGTCTTGCGAGCAGCACTGACCTCTGAACAGGAATGGGGCTGATGGCTGATGGCTGATTTTTCCAGCATTTCTGTGACTGTGACTGGCAGGGGGATCCTCAATGTCCCAAATGGCGCAGGACCGGACACGAGCTCTGGAAGCCATTGCGCATAGTGTGGATGAGAACCAGCGGAGGCTCAACATGGTGCAGATATGAAGGTAAAACATGTGATCAGGGTGAAATGATACAACTAAGGTAACAAAGGGATACAAGGACTGTTAACATCTCTCAACATCCTCAATTACTTTCATAAATTGGGCAACATGGGCTGTGTCTGCTCCCTTGCAGGTCGGAGGCCCATCCGGAGGAAGCAGGTGCAGCGGAGAGTTTGCGTTGGGAGACGCTTGTGAGTGGACTTTGAGAATTGGGAGGTGTGCCAAATCTCTGGAAATACGAAGATCAAGAAGTGCGTGTGACATGTGAAACGCCTGAAATGGTACCGCAGTGTACTGGTGGTGACCCAAGTGCTGCCAGGGCATGAGGAAGCAGCTCGCGGTCCAGGTGCGATGATGGGCCCAATTCCCATGCTTGGACAATCTATATAATGTGAAACACATTCTCCCAAAATTCGTAACCATTTTACGCTTTTGTTTCGGATACATATTGTTTTATGGAGCCATGCCCGTTGTGTTAACCATTCGCAATTTGCCTCCAGAATCCTGTGACCACTTGCCCTTGTCCTGTGGCCATGTCATGACCCAGGTCCTGAACTTCGGATTAAGAACACCTTCTACGAGTTCTGCATTCCGAAAGATGTGGAGCCACTGGTGCGGACGAAAACAGCACCCAGCGCTGTCAACAAGATGGGTCTGGATCCCGGAGATTGAGTAGCAACATTTTATCAAAGCTCACTTGAGTAGCAACTTACTCTACAATCGGACAATGGAAACTCAATGACCATCCTTGGATCCGGTGATATTTTGCTAAAAAAAGGGGTCATTTCCCAGTGCCAGGTTGGCTTTACCAGCCCAGGTGGTGCTGATGCGCAGTCCCCGACAGATGGCAACAACAAACAGGAGGGCACCAGCACTTCATCCTCGGCCAAGTCAGGGACTGGGGTCCCCAAGAACTAGTGAAATCTGTGGAGGTTTACCGGATTGATGTGATGCCCAACTCTAGGGGCCGATGCTCGTGTGAATTCTGTCAATAGGAGAAAACCTCTTGGAAATTCAACCCAGATTCTGCCAGAAATTTCCTGCAAAATTATCGCCCGTCCACTGAGGGCCTCGCCTTTGCTGACCCTGATGCCAGCACCCTCCCCACCGGCCCCATGGGCCTTGAAGCGCGACACGTTGGGTATCTCAGCCACCAGTGGATGTGACACAAATTCTGAGATCTCACGGTTTCCGAGGTCACACATTCTTCGATCCATCCTGGAAGACAAGTGTGGCGCTCGGGTGGAACTGGTGGAACTGGTGGAACTGGTGGAACTGGTGGAACTGGTGGAACTGGTTTTGGGGAACTGCGCACCCGCAAAAACAGGTAGATGCAAACTCAAACATGATTAGTCTATTAGGTTCATTTCGTAGGGCATCAAAGTTTTGATCTACACCCAATGGACTCCTACAGCCAATATAGTTTGATACGTGAACATGAAGTGTCAGCTTCCGCTGTGAAGATCAAAGTCATAGGGTCTGCGAAGATATCGACTGAGTCAACCAAGGATGGAAGCTGAGTCTGAGAAAGATGCTTCTGAAGCCAAAGGCCAGCCATTGCATTTTATACTCAGGGAATCTTCTACGATTTGGGGATTTCCATTGTCAGGTTAAAGTACAGCTAAAGCTTAAAGCATGGCTGGTGGTGAACTTGAGAACCTGCTGAACTCCCATGAATTTGGCAGCCCAGATGGGTGAAATTCTCAAAGATGAGGCTTGATGGCATGAAAAGATATCTTCGGGTATTTTGGCAGGTTCCACAAATGCTGGTGGATTAACAAAGGCTAATATATGCATATATGTATATGTATATATATATATGTATATCATGCATATATACATATACATATATACATACGTACATTATATATATCTATATTATATATAATATATATTATATATATTATATATATATTATATTATATATATATTATATTATATATATATATTGGATACCACTTTTTTCACCATCAATTTAGTAAGTGATCCTAAACTTTACCCCCACACCCGCTCCTCCGATGCCAGGGCGCAGTTCTTCACGACACAACAACAAGGCTGTTCCTGGCAAGACGGGCATAACTACCAAAACTGATCCAACCAGTTCACAACAATTGGGTTCAGGTGAAAAGTGTATATGTTAGGCAATAGGATCCACCATCCCCAATAGGATCAAGCATTTTTATGGCTTGGATTTCAACCATCAATCCATATGGGTGGCACCGCCCCTGTCGAGGCCCGAGCGGAGGGTCCGAGAGCCGTGGAACAGGTGCCCACGACCCCAGATCGCAAAGCAGAGCGCAAAGAACAGCCAGGTCCGGGGTCCGGCTGCCGGCAGCCAGTGGATCCCGCTTGAGGGATCTTTTGATGTTTCAAACGTGAAACCCGATGGCAGGGAGAGTGGATATAAATGGCATTGGTTGAACCATCTATGCCATGCTTCAACAACTTGGAATAACTGGTCGATTATGAAAGAGAGGCAAGCCATGTTTCATTTTCATGTTCAACAGGGAGATCACGGCAAAGTGGCATACTAAAGGGACTCGTTTGTTTTCACCGAAAGGACATGGTTGGTTTCAATGCTGGTTCAACCTGTAGGGCCAGATGCCTATCGCCAGGACTCTTCGGCGTTCCAGGCCACAATCTGCAAACGGTTTTTGTGGAAGTTGAATCAGCTGAGATTTTTTCAGTCATGGTTGAAGTATGACTAAGTATGTAAACTAGTAAGTTTCTCACTGCCGACTTTGATCGAACAAATCGGATCCAATCAGTTTCAACGAGTTCGTTCGCAGTATTTTTTTTGATTTCCTCTGCTGGGTGCTGCGCTACTGGCCAGGTGATTTATCGATACCTGCAGATCATATCACCAGCTGGGCAGATGAGAGTTGGAAGCTCAGGGGCTACAGTGGCTACAGGCTCTTCCACCTCAGTCCATCTCTCTATTTTTCAGCACGTTCAGACTGTGGGTGTTGATCTGGGGTTGTCCGTTTTTATGGTAAGCCCATGGTGATCCCATGGCAGATCCCATGGAATCCCGAACTCCATTGAGGCGAAAGCCTTGAGCCCGGTGATGTGGAACCGTGGTCGGCGCCGTCTTCTCCATCAGGTGCCTCACCTGCACTAGGCAGATAGCATGAAGGCGACATACATTTTTTTTGCGAACCAAAACAGATGAAATACAACTTTTGGGGATAGTAAAATTTGGTAACCCCAAAAATCCTCGAAAACCTACTGTAAAGTACCATTTTTATCAATTTTTTGGGATATTGAAGTTTGGAAAACCTGTTCACCAAAGTGAAGGAATTGACTGAAGCAATTTTTGGTCAAATCTCTAGGTATCATGTGGATACAGCTTATGTTCCCATTACTAGTATCACTATCTCCACTATAGGCATAGTTATCATAGTTCATCCCCATGGTTGGAGGCAGACGCGAAGTGAGGATCAGGACTGATGGACCGATGGCCATGTGGCAGGTTCTATCCTTATGAATAATCATTAAATGATCCAAGAAATATAAGAAATGCATTTTGTTTGTATAACTGTATAACGTTCATTTCTTGACACGTCGCCTCATATGGAGATTTTTCCCCGCCAAGGCTGGGATTGTTTTCTTCGCCGGTCTTTTGTGCGATCCAATGGCAGCATTTTTCATTACCTGTCCCCGTGCAGGAATCTGCCTTTGCAACCTGCAGAGGAATTGAAGGACATTCTTTTTGACCTGAAAATTTAGCTATTTCTTTTACTGTACATCAAACCAGCTGGTTTTTACAGAATTCATCCCCCATGCCCTTTAAAAATCAATGAAGATCATAAGCTTCGACATATTTAAACACCAAAACTGGGAGAGAAAACGCTGGGATTTCAGCCCCTAGGAGTCCATCAAGGATGAGCTTGCAAGGCTGTGGCGAGTGGTGCTGAATCGTGAGCCCTTCCAGCGAGATCTGGTGGATTTAACCAACAATGGGGATGTTGGGATATTTTCTGGAACCAATACCCTCTGGTAATTTAACATAGCTATTGAACATGGCCATAGAAATAGTGGATTTACCCATGAAAAAAATCTGGTTTTCCATAGTTATGTAAACGTTTACCAGAGGGTAATGATGATCAAATTGCTGGTTTCAAGTCATTCTTCCATTTTCAAGCACAGAAATGGGATGATGATCCAATGACTTCGTTGGGATTTTCGCCACCAGACATGGGGATTTTGCCTGAAACACCCTCGGAATTCACCAGAATTATAAAACCCAGAGATTGAAACCCAACAAGCACTCCTGTTGGGAAATTGAGATTGAGTTGTACCCGCTGGTGATCAAACGGTCCCTCCTTGAAAACTACCAGAAGTCCCCAGCAGAAGGATTCCAGTGAATTGAACCGAAGATTTTTCGCGGCGTTCACGCCCTAGTTCTGAATTTTCCTGGAAAAGCTAGGGGTTCCTCCAAATTTTATCTTATACCCCAGATCCCCTGGTCATTTCGTCAACTTTGCTGGTGAAGGCCACCATTTTTTTTGGGGCAAAACAGCCCTTAAATGTCATGGTTACCCTCTGGTAATTTAACGGTTTGCTATTGAAAATGGCCATAGAAATAGTGAGTTTTCCCATGAAAAATGGTGGATCTTAAACCATAGTTATGTAAACGTTTACCAGGCCAAGTAACATCTGCAGCAAAATAGCCCCAATTTTCATGGTGCAGTCATGGTGCCACAGTGCTAGGTACACCGCCAGTGGTGGAGTTTGTGACCATTGCTGATCATCAGGATGAGTCAGTGCGCTGCTGAGAGCACTGCTTGATGCGAAGCGAACGTGATAAAGATGTGTGACAACGTATGTGTCTATCTTCAATATGCATCTTATGTATGTATTTATTTATTTATTTATTTATTTATTTATCCATTTATTTATTTACTTCTTCATCTAGCTATCTGTCTTCTACATCATCTATCATGATCTTATCCTATCTTATCCTATCTGATCTTAGCTTATCTTTCCCTATGCCATGCTATGCTCTGCCATGCTATCTACCTATCTACCTATCTACCTATCTACCTATCTACCTATCTACCTATCTACCTATCTACCTATCTACCTATCTACCTATCAACCCATGTACCTATCTACTTATCTACCCATCTATCTTTCTAAATTCATACGTACATATACATAGATATACATAGATATGCATAGACGGATTAGACTAGAAGAACAACTCGGAGGCGAAGCACGCGAGGCCTCGACTTTTGATTGCCTCCTAATAGGAAGGATGGAAAGACGTTGTCTATCCATTGCTTTTGCTGGCGTGCAATCTGTGATCCTTGTGCTGCAGAAAGTCTGGCTATGATCAAAGGCTCGAACCGCAATCGAAACAAATGAAGGGACGCAGTGGGACGCAACTCCGAGCCTAGGATTGTTGAATCACAAGTAAGAACCTCCTTTGAGTCCTTTAAGAGTGCCCCAAGAATCCTCAATTGCATCAATGTGCATCCAAAATGCCAATAGAATCCACTATGACCATGTGGCAAACCCAATTTTAGAACCATCCCCAAGTTCAGAAAAGTCGACATGTTGTGGGTTATTTAGTACCCCAAGTTTGAATAATTTCCACCGTTATACGTTATACGCATGGGTCAAGAGTCAGAAGCCTGGTAACTAACCCCCGCAACCTGCTGTTCACAACAACTGCTGGAGACAAACGGGAGGGTCACACCCAAACATACTGATTGAGGAATCCCATTCATGGGTTCCCATGTAACCTGACCATATTGGTTGTATTCCCATTCTTCCCGTTATATCCCCATTAAATCCCCATTAAATCCCCACCATTTGGCACAAGTCTTCATGGCTTTATTGGGTGTATCCAAACAAATTTAACGGCTTATAATCATTTTCACAACCACACACATCTATATCTATATCTTCTATATCTATATTGCATAACCATTATATATACATAATACATGGCCGCGCAAGGGCGCAAGGGCAGACGCAAGAGGGTGCTATTATACGTCAACCACGGAACCAGAATTTAGAACAACCCTAATATATATATATATATCTATATCTATAATATGTACATATATATATATATACAATATATATATATATATAATATATATATATATGATATGTTCCTGGAATCCTCATTCCCCCCGAGGTGGCCAGCTCCACTGCTCGCGCTGCGGGCACGGAGGTGACCAGGAATAGACGACAGAAAAGACGTGGGATTTCAGCAACGAAACAGTAGTTTTTTTTGACCCAAAAAGTGGTAAACTTTGATCATGGGAAATCAGCTTGGATTGCAGAGATTTAGGGTGAAACATGGTGAAACCATTGGGGATTTACCTGTTTGGACCAGTTTGGACCGACGATTTGTTTTCCTCGAACGACCATCCATATCAGGGGCCGGTGATTTCTCTTTGACCCATAGCCAACAATAAATTGGCACCACTTGAAAAATGGATGCTGCTTGGATACTTTACACCAGAGCTGCCACAATTCTTCGCGCTTCAGAGGCGTCCATCCAGTTCCTGCGTTCACCGGACTGGGGAATGGGGAGATATCAGCGGAGTGTTAGTGGAAGGGTTGTGACATGTTGTGAGAGCTTCTTAGAGCGTCAGGATGTGAAGGGCTTCTGCATCAGGATATGACACAACTAGATGCTATGATAACTTCTGAGGTGATTCACAAAGGCTCACAGGCTTCGAACACCGAAGCTGGTCTCTGAGAATCTCCAAGCCACCAATAAAGCCAATCGTTTGTTCGGGTTCAGACCGTCATCAGTTTCCCTCGACTTTTAGCGCAGGATGCCCATTGGCTGGTTGATCAAAGAAAGCCGGCGAATTGGACAAGTGCTTGGAGCTCAAACTTTGAATCTCTTTGAAATGGCTATGGATCAATACCTATTAATACCATTTTTTGAAATGACAAACTGCCAAATTTGGAAACTCAAAACGTCGCCGATGTGCAGCCCTGAATCATTTGGCAAGGCTGAAACTATGTCCATACGAGGCAGAGTACTTCATGCGGTGATCCTCTCAGCTCAAACTGACCCTGAACCAGAGGTGGTTCACCCTCTGGCAAAAATCACCCAAAATCGCAATGGAGAATTCCCATGAATTCCCCACTTTCAGATGGTGTGTCTGTTGGAAACGAGGATTTTCCCAGGTCTTTCCATTGCCAAAAATCACTTGCAAAGGAGTGGCCACCTCTACCACCTCCAGTAGATTGGCGCAGACTCCGATACAAGGCTGGATGTGGAGTTTATTGACTGAAAAACTCTGGGAAAGATACACTTTATATCACTTTTTGGTGAATCAAAATCGCTTAGTTCCATGCTGTTCCATGCAAAATCCAACGAATAACTGGGTCGCCATTCTGGGAGACTGATTTGGTCGATCACTGGGAGGCTGACACGGACGCTTCTTCGCAGATGTCCTATGACACTGTCAGGGACCGACTGCTGCGAGGTGGAATTGCTGATGACGGGAAAATGGAGTCATCAACTCCTGACAGTCTTAACGCCTTTTTTTTACCCTTTTTAATGTGAACTTTGAATCTTCATACTGGCAATTTGGCATCGTGAAGTGAGTAGAATCTGAGACTGTCATTTGGCTCCAAGGTTGGCACAAAGCGCTCTTGCAGCCATGCAATTCAAGCAAGGAGAGATGAGTCGCGCTGTATTGAATCACTATTGCTTGGATTTGTTGATTCTGGAGGTGATTTTTTGCTATTTTGCCATTGGGATTCTGGGCAAACCGCTGGATCAGCTCCAAGATTGACATGACTCTGTGGGATTGATGATGGGATGGATTCTGCCAGTTTTGTGTCTTTGTCCCGGGTTAATTCGTAGCCCGATTTCATCTGTCAATGGATTGGTTTTCTTGGACAAATCTTAACTTATCCGGAAACCACGGATTTTTACCATCAAATCTAGGGGTGTCCGACGGTGTCCTGTAAGTTTACCCTATATTTGATGGTAAAAACCATGGTTTCCTCTAATTTCTTTCAAGAAAACCACGTTTTTACCACGTTTTTACCACGTTTTTCATCACGTTCCCAGGAATCCTGGAGCCGAGCCCAGTGGACGTGGTGTTCACCCACCGCAGAACAGGACAGCTGGGGTACCTCCGAAACCATTCGATTGGAGGTACCTACCATATAATATTCATATAATTATGTGTATAATATTCATATAATTATATGTATATATATATATATATGTATATATATATATGTATATATATATACATACACACCATATGTAAGGCCGAGGTAGGTGCAGTATCTCGATTTTTGGATCGTCCTGAAATTCCCATGATGTGCTCAGGACTGTGATACTGACAGGTATCGCCCCAAATCTTCCAGTGTTCGCACCTTAGCACCCCCTGCCGGATAGAGTCGAGGACAGAAAGACTGTGGATTGTGCACATTGCATAGTATTGAGTGTGTATAACTATATCTATATCATTATCTATTATCTATTATCTAATATCTAATGTCTATATCTATATCTTTATCAATATCTATGTATAATATATATATATATATGTAATGTTACGTAAACTATGTAAATTATGTACTGTGTGTGATATCTGAATTTTGGTACATGAGCATATCATGACTATGAATGCAATTACTAGCCATGGGATTTGAGAATCATTACCTCATTTTCAGACAAGGCCACCCTGTTTCAACCCCAGCCATGTAAATGACGCACCACATGTATGTACCTGTATGTACGTATATATATATATACATATATATATAACAATACATGACATATATATAGATGATATATATATATATATATAGATGATGTATGTAATGTAATGTAATGTAATGCAATGTAATGCAATGTAATGTAATGTCATGTCATGTCATGTCATGTAATGTAATGTAATGTATGTATTATATATATACATAAATGTACACGCACACATGCACATATATTTGTAGAGCTCTGACTGTCTCCCATTTGCCGAGGCACATGGTGCGAAGTGAGGTCGGCAACTCGAACTCCCCGGCTCTGAGGGCTGTTTTGGAGGCTGATTAAAGGATGAGCAGTGGCTGCTGAACCCTGGTTGGTTGACAATTACATGGGATTATACTACCCTTCATTATATAATTGGGGATTATATTAATTTATATATTAGTCATCATCCATTATTTGGTGAGAATTTTCCTTTTCTTTTTCTTTTAGCTTTTTTTCCTCCTGAAAGTGATGAACATTTTCCGAACATGATCCTGGCAGAATGGGCCTAGGTTTTAGATTTGCTTCGCCGCTTGTGGCAACGAGATGGCCTAAAGTTTGACCCCGACACGCAGCTTCACCGTCGCTCGGGCAAATGTTGACTGTTGAGGAGGAACCCCTTGGCCCAAAATCAACTAACTATATTGGTTACTGTTGACTGGGGGGAAAGCTCCAAAATCAACTACATTGGTTGGCACACACAGTTGTTGAATTTTTGGGTGCTGAGGTGGTGCTGAGGGTGGCCTGGGCGTGCGGCACGGGCGCCGGGGCATGGAAAACGACGGGAGCTGTATGGTGAGGTGCGAATTTTTCAGGTTGAGGTCGGGGTGGTAGTTTAAGGTCAATTTGCGCAGAGGTTTCAACCACTATTTTCAGGTCGTTAGACTTGTTTTCCCAGGAGAAGGGAGTTTCCTTTGATCCAATTCTGAGAGAGATGGAGAAGGGGATCGACAGCTGTGCAGTTGGAGTAGAGCTCGGGATGTCGATGGTTGCCACCTGTGAGGCTGAGAAACTATGCAGATGCCAAATGGTTGGTGGAACAGGCACCGCAGCTTTCCACATGCATACCTCATGCAGGGTTTCCTGTGCTTTTTTTTACGGGGACACGTGGACACTCCAATTTTCTAAAGTTTGGCTACGTATTCCGCTGAGTTTTCACTCAGGGATCATAGGGCGGGTCAGGACATCCACCACTTGTTTCACTGTATATAGATGAAGGCTTGGGGGACACCCGATAGGTTTTTCCTATCCGGCAAAGGGGTTTCCTGAAATCAAAGTCTTTCTAAAGCATTCGCAGAACAAATGGAACATGGTATGATGTTATGGCCTCAGATCCAAACAAAAAAACAAAAAAGTTTGTCTGAAATTTTTAGATGATCGATTTTGCATGTTTAAAACTATTAAAAACCATGTTCAATCCCCATTTCGGCTGGCTACTTCCCATGTTTTCCGGCCTGGCCACGCTGCGGCCACGCTGATGCCAAGGCCCGCGGCCTGAGCATTGAAGGGAAGCCCGTGCGGGCCATGTGGGCTCGACCCAAAGATGGTGCACGCTGAGGTTGGGGACGTTGATTCGGCTGGAGATATCGATTCTCATGATGAGGCTAATGCTAATCATTCATTATTCTATATTATTGTTCTGATTACGGTATAACGGTATATGATTGTGACTATGATTATGATGATTACTATTGGTGTGATGATTATGATTGTGATTATTACTATAGCAATATTTACAGTATTACTATTATTGTTATTGTATGTTATTGTCCTTATTATGAATATTCTTATGATGATCATTTTCACGATGTGGGTTATTAGTACTATTAGTATTGATATTTAGTATTTTTGTTATGATTATGACAATGATGATTCTGATGATCCTTATGATATTTATTTCTTAGATGTGTGTTTCGCAACATTACCGAGATTGGCAAACTTTTTCTTTTCTGTTGGATTTTTGTTGATTTCCCTTTGGTAGTTTAAAAGTATGGATGAAGCCATGGCTCATTTAGTTCGATGATTTCCACGGTTCTTGAACATGGTCATTTTCCACAGGTGTGTCAAACTACCAGATGGTAGTATTAGCTGCTTTTGAGTGGGCATTTGATGTCTTTTTTCAAGGGATCTTCGGGCAGGAACTCCAGAGATTGGCTGCGCTGAACGCAGAAGGCATGGAAGGATGCTATAGTGTGGACCTTCGTGAAGGCTTCGTGAAAATGTCCGGGAGCTCTTGAAATGCAGGTGTGAAGAAGACCCATGAATGCTATGCTAAGGACAATCAGGAGAATCGGATTTGAATGGAAGATGAATCTGTAAACTTTGATAGTTTCACTGTTTCACTCAACATTTGGTTTGGCATTGTGACCATCGTGACCAAAGTACATCCATAGTCTGCCGTGAATCTGTCACCTGCACAAGGGCCTGCGTGGTAGGAAATCTGCTGTTGAGCAGGAGACCCATTTGCTGGTCTTAGAGCAAAACTTTGGGGCACTTTTGCTTTGAATCTGGTGAGCTGTGATTGCCCTTGTGAATCCTTCTAGAAGCACATGAATTAGCTGATAATCCTTTTAAGTGTTGCTCACGCCCCAATGCACATCGCGACATAATCGCTGCTCCGGCGGAGTTTCTCTTTGTTTGATGCCTTGCCCAATTAACAGCTGCACGCCAGAACCCCAGTTTCCAATACACTCTCATCTATGGATTGGCCATGCCGCACAGACAAAAAAGTCGGGCTGTTGTGCAGGTGCAGGGCTGGTTGATGATGTAGGACATTTCTGCTTGCTCTTCACTAATGGTTTGGCCTTCCATGCAACAGATGGCAAGATTCGCAGGCTCTTCCAGCCCCAGTCCAGCCAGGCCGCCCATGCTCATGTGCCGCAGTCCATACCTTCAAAATGCCTTAGCATTTTGCCTCAAACCACAGGGCACAAGACATTCTGCTCGAGGATATAGCACCCCCCAATCAGATGGGGAGACGACCCAGAAAAAATAGCAGCTCAATTCTGAGATCCAGAGCGAAGATGAGCAGCTGCAACACTTCATGAACGTGATCCATCCGGAAGTTTTGTGAAGCTTGGGCCCAGTGGGCCCAGTGGGCCCAGTGCCATGCAGTTTCTGTGCGCCGAAGGGTGGACTCCGCTGAAGCTGGCTGCATCCAGCAGGTGAATGGCCACCGAGGAAGACCAGAGCGAGGCCGACGGAGCCGACAAAAACAGCAAGGACATTTGACGTTCCTGGCAACAAGGAGGAGTATAGAACGATGCGAACTGAAAACTCTATTGTTATATAAACTATGTTAAACTGTTTAAACTCCCCAAAAGTGTGGATAGATTGTAGAGCTACAACCTTCTCCAAAAACCAATGAAACCATTTAAAGCAGAGGGAGATGACCGCGAGGAACCTCCAGCTTCCTCAAAAACACAACACACATTGTTTTTTCAAATCATGGAGGCACTCTACCAGCCGACCTGCCTAAATGTCCATGGAGCAAGGTGCGGCACTTGGGTTTCAGGTAGAAATATAGCTTTGAACATGGGGCGCTCAAAATCTGCTCATCCTTATTTTTCCTTTGAGCATGGCAAGAACATGCGCTATATGCACCATTTCGGGATCCATGTGGACCCTTCAACGGTTCTTAGGTGGGTACAATTTTTTGCTTTGATCGGCGCAGCGCTCAGATTCCTCCCAGGCTGTGAAATTGGGAGATCCTCCATCAACGTTTGCTGCCATTTTCTTTCTTTACAAAGGCGACATTAACCAAGATCAAATTTTTGGAGATCATAAAGTGGGCAAAACAATGCCATCAACCACCCATTTGGAAATGGTTTATACAACCTATTCATGGTGATTTGGGGGAAGGAAGCAACCAATCGGGAACAAATTCAGCAACCCGCTGTCCCAGGTGCCTCGTGGCGCCAGGACGGTTCCACCAAAATTGGCTGAGGAATCAATGGAATAAAAACAATACTTTAGGGGGTATCAAATCCAGAAGATACACCAAGATTGGGGTTTTCACCATTTGAACCATCTTTGTAATTTTGCATCCCAAAAAGGGAACTTGATCCCAGTTGAAACGCCAAACGCCTGTGGATTGAAATCAACCAGCTGAATTGTTTCGAAGAATTCGGGTCATTTCGCCCCGGGACCAACCAAATGAATTGATGCTGGATGATAGCACTCTACAGTCTTGCAATTCACAAGTATCGATAACCGCTATCTGCCATCTACCTCGGTTGATTGCATCTAATACGACTCAATATTGCATCATATTGCCATATTTTTGGGTGTGGATATCACCGACCATCTGAAAAAGCGATTGCCTTTTTTGGCATGATCAAACCGAGGTGCGGATCTTTGAAAAATGGCTATCTCTTCTTTGTGCTCTTCTTTGTGGAGGATGACAAGAACTGGAACCTCTTTGATGCGGCCACTGCTCTGCGAAGGAGACATAAGGGGACCAAATGGCTGGCTTGGCTGGTCATAGAAAGGGGATACCCGACCCCAAGCTGATCTGGATTGGTCATGTGTATTTGCCATCGCACGGAAATCACCATGGAGTATTTTAGTGGAGGCGGTTGTTATTTCATTGATTGAGCTTCTGATGGATTCAGTGAACACTTGATGAAACCTTTTGTATTGACTCTATGGATGTTTCGCCATGTCTGTGGGTTGGTCCAACCATGAGGGATATCTTGTGTACCCCAAAATGACGTAAAATCACCATCTGAATGGGACTAAGTTGCCAGAGATTCACTAGCAGAATCGATGTACACAGCTGATCCAAAGAAGGTCTGGGCGTTTTTCGCTCCGTGAAAAACGCTCCAAAGGGGCATCAAACTCACGTCCAAAAGTGGGATTGTAGCCAAGCTGACCACTTTTTGGTGTAGGTGACAGACTGTTAGGATTTTGGCGGTAAAGGCAAGGAGAATCTATGATTGTTTAAATTTGGGATCATCCCAGATCTACCTTCAAAAAGATGCTGTACAATCCCAGAGTTCCTGCCGTCTTTCCCATGCCGTTGGCATGAGACAAGACCTGTTGAAACAGCGGTGCAGTGAGCGCTTCAATTGAAGCTCCCTTTGCCTTGTTGAACGGATTGGGCCTGAGATATGAGATATCAGGTTAATCATTTTGTAACATGCGCATTCATGAAAAGGTCTGGGATACCCTAGAATGGTTCCATGTGCAGAATGGTTCCATGTGCGGCTGTCGTTAGCATGTTCCGGCTAGCATGTCCTGCCCTTCTTGTTGTTTCGTTTTAGTTTTGGTGCTGTCGGAAAGCGTCCTTTGTGTCAAAAAAGCTTGACGTTTTGGTAAACTTGTGCAAAGGTTCCTGCATCTGTTGCGTATCCAGTTTCATCGCGGTGAGGACAGGTTTCTCCTAGCTGAAGCATTTCCGTTGCTCAAAGTCACAGGTTGGAGCGGCCAACACACGACAAGTGCAAATACAAGCACTACTTACCAAGCACCTCAAGCACCTTCCCACCAAAAACAATAGCATCTTCCCGACGCAGAGACAACAGCATTCAATTCAAATCTCTCTGCAGTCCCATGTGGGCATGTAGAGCCAATACATGAAAGTACGCCAAAAATTGGTCTGAAACAAGTTTCAGCATCACGTGCGTAGCTCTAAAAGGCATGTAGGATAGCACACGACAATCTGCGAACGGTTCCACTCATTGGCTGCAAGGCCAGGTCAGTGGAAACCGTGTTGGAACCACTTCCATTTTCCAAGCATTGAGGAAGTACAAACAAAATGGGGGTCAAAATATGTCAAAATTGGGTCAGTGGAAGCCTTTTCAACAGGATCCGAAGAAGGCCGCACCACAAAGGCAAATCAGAATCCATGCAAATTCTTCAGGATTTTGTGGGGTCCCAAAATTCGCCATTGCAAATGCTTGGCGGCTTGGCGCTAAGGATCCAGCCCTAATGTTCTTATTTTACTGTAGTTGGTTCTTAAGCAATTGTTTCGCTGTACCCCGAAAATGAGATGATTGCATATTGTGTTGTTATATCAAACATGTCCAAAACAGTGCTTTTCTTTGCTTTTCTGGGATTGACTTTTAAACCCATGGAAAAATCAACACCTCCACCTGCACGAAACAGCCGCGTAGCCCGCGAAGCGAGGAAAATGGGCATCCTGTTCTCATCGATTTTCGGATCCCTCTTCGGGAACAAGGAGGCGACCGCGGAAGCGGACTTGCCGAATGGGACATCACCGAAAGCAAAAAGAAAAATCACCTGAAGAACGCGTAAAAGAGCCTTCCCGAGTCACCTTCCTCCCAAAGATATCCCTTCTCTTAGGTGAGTTGGCACATCAGCTGGTGAGGTGAGGATCCTCATCCTTGGTCTGGACAATGCGGGAAAGACGACCATCCTGTACCGGCTCCAGGTTGATGAGGCCGTTGGCCGTGGAGCAACATTGGTAGATGGGTGGCTTCAGCAGCCAAAGTCGCTGCCAGGTTGTGCAGACCATCCCCACCATAGGCTTCAACGTAGAGACGGCGCCCAACTGAGTCATTTCACCAGTTCTTTCGTGCGTGTGCGATAGAAATCATCAACAGCACACTCAACACAACACTGGAGGAGAGGAGCAACAAATAGCTTATATAAATAGCAGAGCATGAGATGCGAGCAACAACACTCGGAAGGCGCATATTTTCGAACTTGTAAGGAGAGTTATTATCGATGTGGCTTCGGAAATGGGTTTAGACATGTCCTGCCATGAGGTTCAGTACAAAAACATCAAGTTCCAAGCCTCCGACTCAGAGTTGCGATCAACCTTGAAAAGAGCTGCCGTGTTGGACAGCCGAGGTGTGGGACCTGGGTGGGCAGACAAGCATCCGGCCATACTGGAGGCGCCCACAGAACCTTGGGGATCCTGTGGGATCGGCTTCGGAACAGAATTGAGGAACAGCTGTGGATCAAAATTGTGAAGAATTGGGATGTTTCAATATGTTTCAAGATATTTCAATATGTTGAATCATTTGAATCTAGAAAGCATCCACTTTGGTGGGTCCATCATCAGTTGCCCATTCTTGAGCCATGCCCGTGACCTAAGCCGCTGGTTCCAACTCAGTTTTTGCATCGTGCAGAGCGATGAGCCCTCAACTGGAAGTCGCAGACGGTCCCTGTGAGGTGTTACTATCCGAACACCAATGCCATCATCTACGTCGGCTGCTGAGATCTGGAACCAAGACTTTGTATTCTTCTGGAGATTCTCACCAATTTTTCAAACAATGCAATGGAGAATTCCATACAATTCCCCATATATAGACGATGTTCACCCATCATTCACCCATCATTTCCCAGCCGTCCCTGGTCAGGTGGTGGATTCTGCGGACCCAGATCGCATTGGCGACTCCAAGGAGGAGTTGCGACTGATGTTGGAGGAGGAAGAGCTGAAAGGTGTCACCCTGCTGGTGCTTGCGAACAAGCAGGACCCATTCGGCAGAACGTGGCAACAAAAACAATCTCTGATAGGTAAAAACCATATGACATCTCTACAACTATCAATGATCTACATTTTTGTTTGCAATTTAAAGCCTTACAGGCACTCAGACAAACTATCAAACGCATGCAAATCGCGACAGCAGCTCACATACGGATGTCAACACACCTCCAATCATCAATGATCTACATGTTTATACTATATACACATACTAATACTATATAATAAATACTAATATGATATATACATGGTATATATGAACATACATATGTATGTTCATATATATATATATATACACATGCGTGTATATTATATATATGTATACATATGTATATACATATGTAAATATATGTACGTATATGTACATATATATATACATACACTACGTACATATACTTATTTATATGTACACACACACATATATATATATATATATACATAATCACTACATATATACATATATACTACGTACACATACTTATTTATATGTATATACATAGCTATACACACACACATATATTTATACATATTCATTATATATATATATATCCATTATATGTATATATACACATATGTATATATATATATATTCATTATATATATATATACATATTCATTATATATATATGCATATACACATAGATATGCATTCATAACATATATCATATGATCCTAACATGACATGAAACACCCAGCCCGCTGGAGCCGACATTTGAGGACCTTCCAGGTGCCCTGAGTGCTGCGGAGGTGGGGAAAAAACCAGGGGAGTCTTAGGGAGAAACAATGGTAACTACCATTGGAATGGACAATCAGAAAACCATTGGAAATCAGCTGTCTGTTTTTCCCCCACCTGCCAGGTGAGGGTTGTTAGATTTTATCACAGTTGTTCTCCTCCTCCTCCTCCTCCTCCTCCTCGGCTAGCTATCCTCCTGCTCCTCCTGCTCCTCCTCCGCCAGCATCTCCTCCACCACCTCTGCCTCCACTTCCACGTCCACTGTTGCCTTGCCAACTCTTCGCCAAGCTCTTCGCCAACGTCCGAGCTCAGTGTGCACCGCTGGACCTCAACCTGGGACCTTCCCAGCTCAGTGGGCACCGCTGGACCTCAACTTGGGACCTTCCCAGCTCAGTGTGCACTGCTGGACCTCAACCTGGGACCTTCCCAGCTCAGTGTGCACCGCTGGACCTCAACGGCCAGATAGAATGCCAGAAGGTATGCCAGATAGAATGCCAGATAAAATGCCAGATAGGGAGCAACCGTAAAAACCCCGGCAATACTAAATATGTATTCGACGGACATTGGTTTATGGAAATTGATGGAAATTGTTAAAAACACGAGGTAAGCGATGGGACCTTCCCAAATTAGCGATACCCCTTTTCAAGGTTATGTCATCATATTTCTCTAATATCCACATTAGCGATACCCAAATATCACATATTATTCATAGTTCATCACATATATATATATAAATGCAGCAGTTTCCTGCAAGCGATACCCCCCAAGTTTACCATATATCATTATTGTACAAACGTGTGGTAAGCGATGGGACCTTCCCAAATTTGTGAATGTCCTTTCCGTGAACCTAGGGTTTTCACAATCGCTCGATATGCCAGAAGGTATGCCAGATAGAATGCCAGATAAAATGTCAGATAGAATGCCAGAAGATATGCCAGATAAAGTGCCAGAATGTTTGCCAGATAGAATGCCAGGAGATTTGAGTAGATAATATGCCAGAAGATATGCCAGATAGAATGCCAGAAGATATGCCAGATAGAATGCCAGATAGAATGCCAGAAGATATGTCAGATCGAATGTCAGAAGATTTGCCAGTAACAAAATGTATAAATGTCATGGTGGGGATCACACGAAGTAAAGTAATTTTTCTAACAACAAAATGATGATGGGACAATTGATTGACATTTTTTTGGAATGGTAATGGGAAAAACAATGGCACAAGCGCATGGACATGTTCTAACATGTGCTAGGGAAAGACATGAATTATCTTGTCATGTACCATGGAATACACACACACAGACACATATATTATTGATAATAATATCATGTAATGTGTGATGAAAACTCGGAATTGTTGGGTTTCTGGACTGATATGATTTTTGAAGTTGGGGTATGCCAGTATGCCACAGTTGCTGTGAATGAGCATTGTCGACGGAAAACATGGCCAAAATTGGTAGCAGGGATAATTTGCAGGTAAATCCTAAAATTTCATGACAAAAGCAATGTTTCCTCTAAATTTCCACTTAAGCCTTAAACCTTAAACCAATGCTTGACGGGGCCTTTCCCATGGCAAAAGGAAATTTGCCCGCAGCTCAGCTCCTCGGCAGGTCTCAGAATCGTTGGGCCTGACAGCAATCAGGAATCGGCAATGGGCGATCTTTCAGACGTTCGGCGCCCCCAGAAATCCTCAACAGCCTGGAGAGCCATGGGGTTCAGAAGATCGGCATAAATTTGGGGGCTTCTTAAAATGGAGAAGACGATTTTGAAAGGCCTTGTGCTGTTTCGATTTATCTGACGTCATAAGGTCAGCTCTGAAGGGATCTGGCATCAATGAAGGCCAGTGCGGGAGGAACTATAGTTGTTTGGTTTGATTTTAATCAGGTTTCTTCCTGATTGCAGTTTGTGTATTGAAACAAACTAAATGGGATAATCCTCTAGATTGGCCTTGTGACTGTTTTTTTTTGCATGGTGTCCTGATCCTCTGGAAGATGTGCATCCATTGGTACCCTAATGGCTTGACCGGTATGTGGATCAATACCCCTAAAGAACATATTTTTAAGGGAATCACGATTCTAAGATCCACTTCACCATCCATAATACCCATATTTTACCAACAATTTGGATGTTCAAAACCTGAGCTACGTCCTGATCCCGTCCTATCCATCTTCCATATTATACCTTGGTGTTTCCAGGTCTTGATTGGCTCGTGAGTGTCTTGTCCAGTAGCTGAGCCTGCTGGAATCTGCTGGAGCTGGTTGCGAAGCCCCGAAAAGTGGGCCGCGGCCGAGGGTTGGTTTAGGGGGGATGGCATAAAATTGGGCCGAAACATGGGTCAAATGATGTCAAATGTTTGGATCCAGATGGGTGGTTTGAGACCTTAAGAGCTTATATGTTTTCAATTGCCTCAAGGAAGCCAATGCCCTTCGGCAATCAAACACGGCTGGGAATCCCCTGAGTTTTACTTGGAAAAGCATCTACAGTACGATGGGGGATTTTCCATTGCCATGTGAAAAACGGCCAGAGGGTATATTGGTCTTTAAACATGTTCACCATCTGGTATGGATGCATGGTTCTGCCTGGCCAACCTTGCAGCTTCAGGAAAGGCTCAAAGATGCCATGTGCCAATGGGTCGCAAGCATCATGCTGCAGGAAGAACATGCAGATGATCATGAAGAGGTCCATGTGAAACATCAACAAACCTTAGGACAGTTTGGCTACAACAGCCCTAAAGCCATCAGCAGGATCAAATTCTTTCACTGAGCTGTACAGTTGGCAGAGCCTTGCAGCTTCGTAGCCCCAGGCACGGTGAAATCTGCAGCAGAGGACCGTAGGAGCCGAGCCTTGCTGCCAGGAATGGCTGCAGGAGGCAACTACTACGAAAGGATTAGTAGGTGCATGGCTCAAATTCTGTGCCACCCCGGATGCATTGGTACCCCATTTTGAGCACACCTACCAAAGCCCATGACTTTGGGGATTTATCGACCCAGCACTCCCTTGTGGTGTGTTGTCCCTCAAACGGCTAGGCCGGACGTTGTTGGGCTGCAATCTGTGGAGGTTTCATGAACATTTATAACTTAACTTAACTTATACCACGACCAAGAACAGAACAATCGCCCTTCAGAACCCATCCGAAAGCACGGTAGACAATTCTCTGTGCAAGTCAATGGAAGCACTTCAAAAAGTGCCTCTTGGGAAGTCTTCATGGACTTGAAAAATTAGGGCGAAGCCACAGCCATTAGTTTATCATATCTATTATCCCCTATTATACATGTTAATATAGATCCCCTATTATAGATGACTATTGTTTATCAATGTTTATCAATGTTTATCATCATCTTCCCTCTCAAAATGGCCATGACCCGAGGTTGTCGGAGCGGCTGTCCGGGCTCCAGCAAGGCTGGCCGATGCTGGCCGGCGCACGCGCACGCCTTTTACACGGCCTAAATGTTCCCAAAGACATTTCAATTCCTTACTAAACCATGGTTTCTGGGCGTGTTTAATAGGGAGAAGGAGTTACCAATCTGATTCAAGTTTTGAAGAACTATCTACACCAGGTGAGACCCCAGAAGTTTTTGATAGACCTACGGAGCAGTCAAATTTATACATCCCCTATTATAGATGACTATCACATCTATTAACATACAAAAACCAATTAAAATTCATATTAAAACTCAATTATGAGGCACTTGATTCATGTCATAGTTGGTTTAGCTCTGATTCTTCTTACTGGTGCTCAACGCAGGGAATTTTCGGGAATGATCCCAGTCATAACTAGTCGTAATCATCCTATTCCCCCGTTCCCATCCATTCCCTACTAAGCACCAGTAAGTCTTTCATCATTTTCCCATGAATTAATCATAGAATTGGATGATGGGAAAATTTACACCGGAAACCCCGATCAATTTGATGGTGTAAAAACCCATGGGTTTCCGGTTAAGATTTTCCCAACAAAACCAATCCATTGAATTCACTTCTGGTAAACTAACATAACTATGGAAAATCACCATTTTTAATGGGAAAACTCACTATTTCTATGGCCATTTTCAATAGCAAACTGTTAGTCATAGCCAGAGGGTAACTGGTGTTCCCCAGGCCTAGAGCATGAGCGGAACTCTCGCTTCGATCAGCTCAGCCAGCGAATGCTTGGGCACCAAGGTGACATGGACGCCATGGCCATGGGAAAAAGGAGGGAACCATGGGGAATCGTAGAAAAATATGAGAAAATATGGGAACATATGGGAAAATATGGGAAAATATGGGAAAATATGGGAAAATACACTATAAATGGAGGAATTATCCCATCATTAATAGTCACTAATGTGGTTAAAACAATGCCATAGACCACCCAGGACTGGGAAGGGTAAACATAGCACCTATAAAATGGTGATGACTGGGGGATGGTTTCATTATTGAACCACATTAACGATGATGATTATGATGATTACATTCATTGCTATAACGTTGGTTCTTTTGCATCCTAATTTTTTTAGACAAATATCCATCTGAATTCCGTTGAGACTGACTATCCAGATGATGATTACATTATATTGCATTGGGGCGTCTTCCCAGCTGGATACCAGATCGGTCCCAAACTAAGACCCGGAGACTCGATGGACTGATCCTAAATGAGGTGTTGTTTTTTCAAAATGAGCTTGAGTCGAATCCACTCCATATGCATGGACAGTACATAAATCATATATATATATATAATATATATACGTACATATGCACAAGTGTACACGAAAAAAATGAATAGATACACACACACACATGCTTGTCTGTGTGTGTGCACGCGCGCTTATACGATGCGTGCATGGCTTCCAGGTATGACGTGGACTTGAAGCTTCAGCAGAGCCAGGCAGGACTTTTTTCAAATTTGATATGAAATCCAGCGAAGTTGACGCTTGCCTAGGGGATTGCGCCAAGTCCATTTTTTTTTTGACATCTTATCATCTCAAAACTGGGAACTCCATGCTTTCCCCAATGGTTTAGTTTAGAGCATCGTTGTCCCCATGTTTTCATGGCTGTGACGCTGGGATGACCTCCACTGCGACAGGAGTCTTTGCATTCCGACTTGGCCAACCTGAAGGTTGGCGGGACCATGTCGACGTTCCTGCCAAGTGAAAACATGATATAGCCCCTTAATTTAACACGTAACCCAAACATGGCCATATACCATATGAAAATCATTGTTCAAACCACATTTTTTGGGGTTCCATGTTAAATGTGCCGGTATCATAGGACGCCTGTACCCCACATTCAAAGAGCCAACACCCGGCCGGTAGGGTACCAATGGTTCTCGTCATTTTCAAATGGTTGATTCGAAATATTCTTCAAAGTGGAATCTGGGGGTATAACATGGTAGAACCTCATTTCAAAGCCCAAAGCCATCATTCATTGGTCACATTTCTGTTTTTGATACTGACATCTCCATAAAATGGGGGTTAAATCCACCTGGAGAAGCCAGGATCAGCTGGTGAAGTTTCAGCGTGACTTTGATGAAGAAAGGATGAGCCGGGAGGCTGGGGTAACGCGGTAACAATCATGCAAGATCCATATAAGAGCCATAGGAAAACCATAGAAAAACACCAAGGAACAATTCTGCTAGATTGATTGAAACCATATGATAGCCTTATGCAAAAAGTCATAGAACGCAGGCTTAATTGGACAATACAGGATCTACAATCTATAACCTGAACTGTGGAGGATCCAATTGGATCCTCTTTTTGAAGCAAAGAAAAATGGACAGAAACCTATGCCATCAACCGTGACGGGTTTTGTCAAAATATCGAATCATTAAATTAGCTGTAAATTCATCATCATCATCATGATTCTGATCCTGTTCTGTTTTTCACGTGGCCATTTTCAGACAGACCCACACACACACACACATTTTCACCTGGCAATGTTAGACATACTCCCCGCGCCGATGACAGGCTCTTACTGAAGCGAGGTCACAGGAGCTGACGGTTCGAAGCCGAGGATTTGGAGCAGCGATGCATCGCCAAGGATTTGTGGACCGTTGGACATTGAGTATCCGGCAACAACAATAATAATGAACCAACCAACGAAGTAATGAACTGATCCAATCATTGATTAGCTACAGTTCATTATAGTTCATTATTACTTCGTTGGTTGGTTCATTATTCATTATGATCAGTACATTATGATTAGTACAATAATCGCCAATCAGTCACTGTAATCATAATGAACTAATCAACGACAGCCGACCTGAAGAATCCCACTAACCTGACGGTCGCCATCACAGACACATTGGTATAACTAGAAAAGGATAGAAAAGGTGGTACTCTCTGGTTATGACTAACCTAGCCATGGTATAGATGGCCCATTTATAGATGGTTTACCTATTAAAAATGGTGATTTTCCATGGCAACGTTAAATAACCAGATGGTATACTTAGTTAATACTTTCGCGTGGAGAAGGCTGATATAGGACTTAATTTTGCTGTATCCAATTTTAATTTTTGGACCCACATTCGCTGTTCATTGAAAGATGCCAAGATCACCACTTATGACAACTCTTCATTTCTGTTGGGCCGACTCATAATTTGAGGCTGCAGACTCAAGACTACAGCAGGCTCTAGAAGCAGAACAACAGGCGAGGTGGGTGAGATATGTTGCTTAAAGTTCCAGTATTTATTGGCGACCAGTACAGCAAAGAATTTCTCAGCCCAATCATTCTCTCACTTGTCGTGGAACAGAGCCCTGGAGATGTAGGCACCAAAGCCTCTGTATTACCCTCCAGTAACGAAAAACCTGACTTGGCGGAAAATCACCCAGCTATAGTTCGATGATCATATCATCATATCCCATGTGATATATTATTGAATCTGGTATAATATAATATTGTTGGGATTTTTCATAGCAATGTCAAATCAACAGATTGTGGCCCTAACTTTTCTCTGTTGGGGGATGAGAAAACTCCACCGTCGCGCCGCAGGCGCGGCGCGACGCAGAAGCGCAGGTGCTGAAGAGCTTTGATGAGCGGACCTCGATCTTGCGGGAGGCCAAAATGTGTTTGGCTAAGCAGATGGGGAATGGAAGGGGTTGGGCAGAGAAGGATACGTAGGTGGGAGTATTTGATGATGACAAGAATAAGAATAACAAAACCAATAATAAGAAAACCAATAATAACACTGATTATATTGCCAATAATGATAATGGCAAGTATTCACAATGCTTATAATGTTTCTTTTCTTAAAGAACAACGATATCCATGAATACATCTTTAATCATATTTAGATGTCATGCATAGTGGAGAGTGGGTGAGTCAAGACCTCGAATCTGGCAATTCTCATCCTACCTGGGATGGGTTGACAGTACCAGCTCGAAGCCAGGAGATTGCACGAGAGGGTCGATCCAGGGTAGGGGCTCTCAGGCTGACATAGGCTGACAACGTGATCAAGTCCTGATGTCTCTGGCAATTTCTACCATCGACTCACCAAGGCTGAAGCTGAAGCAGCATTGCGACGCTACGTGCCTCGGCCGCTGATGCCTCCGCTGTGATCTTTCTCTGTTATTCTGTTGTGAGTCGCGGGGCCAAGGTTGATGTCGATATCCCCAAGCTCTATGAGAGCTTGCGAGATGTCGAGAACCCAGAAATTGATCAATTGGTCAGACAGCTTTGGATTGGTTTTTAGGAATTATCCACTGATGTTTGCAGTGTAATTATATATGGCTTTATGGATCTGTAAAGTTCAGAACCAGTTCGTTCAGTCTAGCCGCTAAAGCCTGCAATCCAGCCATGTTGCCAACAGGTAGAGGTGAGAGATCATCTAGGGATAAGTTTTCATCATCACCTCCTTGTTGGTATCCTCATGGTCATCGCAGTCCTCCTTCTCCTTCTCCTCCTCCTCCTCCTCCTCATCCTCATCATCATCATCATCATCATCATCATCATCATCATCATCATCATCACCGCCACCGCCACCACCACCACCACCATCATCACCATCACCATCACCATCACCATCACCATCACCATCACCATCACCATCATCATCATCATCATCATCACCATCACCATCACCACCATCATCATCATCATCATCATCATCGCAGTACTCCTTCTCCTTCTCCTCCTCCTCCTCATCCTCATCATCATCATCATCATCATCATCATCATCATCATCACCGCCACCGCCACCACCACCACCATCATCACCATCACCATCACCATCACCATCACCATCACCATCACCATCATCATCATCATCATCATCATCATCATCATCACCATCACCATCACCATCACCATCATCATCATCATCATCATCATCATCATCATCATCATCATCATCATCGTCATCGTCATCGTCATCGTCATCGTCATCGTCATCCTCCTCCTCCTCCTCATCATCAGCATCATCATCATCATCATCATCATCACCATCACCATCACCATCACCATCATCATCATCATCATCATCACTCAATACTTGCAGGAAGAAGCACAATCATAAACATAGCAATAGATAGCAAAAATAGCAATGCTAGCGATAACAACGATGTGCCCAGGAAGCACAGTCCAGGGAGACCATGGAAGATCGGATTGTAAGGTGGGAAGCAGAAGCGGAACCTCTCGGGTTTTCCAGGGCCAAGAGGTTTAATTCACAACCCAAACCAGTAAGGTAACAAAAAGTGCTGCAAGTATGGTATGTACCTGTAAACATTTGTCTCTTCCTACCCCTCAATTCTATGGAAGCATGGAAGCATGTGGACTTGAAGATACCTTAAGCGTTCATGTTACCAGATTGCAATTGGTTTACATTGGTGTTACATCCACCTTCTTGCCACCTCATTCCCAACCTCCAGGCGGGCTTCTGAAGAGATCAATCGGCTACAAGAGGTCACCCGGATGAGGGGAGTGGGCAGGGGCTATAATTGGTTCAAATTGAAGTGGCTGCAGCTTGAGCTCCAAACTTGGTCTCTCCACATTCTCCACTATTTTTTGATGATTGTCTTTCTCAAGTTGACAAACGTTCGCATGCTATGGGGTCTCAGATTCTGAGTTCCTGAATGTTTGGTGAATTTTACCGATTTTGAGGAGATCTTCGAGGATCACCGGTAGTGGCTGAGGCGATTCTGACCGAAAAGAAGGCGCGGGAAGACACAGAAGAAGCGCTCTTGCGGATGATGGAGGACCGTGGCCATGCAGTGGTCCAGCAAAGCTGCAATGGAAGAATCATATTTTTCTGAGTTTGGACCTAGGGAAAACCATGATGATGATGATGATGATGATGCTGATGCTGATGCTGGTGATGATGATGATGATGATGATTATGGTGATGATTAATTATGGTGATGATTATGGTAATGATTATGGTGATGATGATGATGATGATGATGATGATGCTGGTGATGATGCTGGTGGTGATGATGATGATGATTATGGTGATGATTAATTATGGTGATGATTATGGTAATGATTATGGTAATGATTGTGGTGATGATGATGATGATGCTGGTGATGATGATGATGATGATGATTATGGTGATGATTAATTATGGTGATGATTATGGTAATGATTATGGTGATGATGATGATGATGATGATGATGCTGGTGATGATGATGATGATTATGGTGATGATTAATTATGGTGATGATTATGGTAATGATATTGTGATGATGATGATGATGATGCTGGTGATGATGATGATGATTATGGTGATGATTATTTATGGTGATGATTATGGTAATGATTATGGTGATGATGGTGATGATGATGATGATGATGCTGATGCTGGTGATGATGATGATGATGAGGATGATGATGATGATGATGATGATGATGCTGATGCTGGTGATGATGATGATGATGAGGATGATGATGATGATGATGATGAGGATGATGATGATGATGATGATGCTGATGCTGGTGATGATGATGATGATGATGATGATGAGGATGATGATGATGATGATGATGATGCTGATGCTGGTGATGATGATGATGAGGATGATGATGATGATGATGATGATGATGAGATTCTGGATGGATTTCTTTGTGGTTGACCAGAACCACCGCTTACTTGTACCATCTTGTACCACCATTGCAGTTTTTGTAGCGAGGATACAGTTGCAAAGATGAGAGCCGAGATTGCGCAGGAGCTGCTCAGCGTTAGTGCATCTCCAACGTGTTGATGTGAATGATAGGTGTGTGACCATGTGACCACCTTGCACTATTTGTGGTAATCGATGCTTTATGCATATAGCAACCATCAATAAGGTAGAAATCTTATTTATCACAGTTCTGAAAAGTAGGATTTACTTTGCATTTTTTTTGGATTGCTCTCTCTCCCTATACACATGTTTGTGACCATTCTGACCCAGTTTCTCAAGCCAGGAGCGTGCTGATCGGGAAACCACCGAGGAGACCTTGTTGAAGCTGCTTGAGGCCGGCATGGCCGGCACCTGCCGAAAGTTCTTCAGTGTTTGGCCGCCAAGATGCACAACTGGAACTAGAATATCCATGTAGATTGACACTAGATCCTTTTCTTGAAGTTTCTAAAAGGTTTCTTCCAGTGCTTGTTTGTCAAACATTTTTCAGCAATGAACATGTCAGGAAACCTGCAATAAGCTGAACACGGCCTCGCAAGTCCTCTGAAGGCGCCAAAACGGCGTCGCCGTAATTTCAGGGATGAGCCGTTGGGGAATCGGTTCGCTGCAAGACCCAAGAATTGCGCCAAAATGTCTATGGGCGGATGTGGATCTCAGTAAGTGGTTTATAAATGTTTATAACCCATACTCGTACCTGGGTGGTATTCCATAAACCTAGGTTATGCTATGGTTCTAAGCGTTCTAACCCTCTTGCCTCTTACCAACTGGAATGCACATCCAAGCGGTGATCCTCTATGCCATTTAGGAAATCACTTGGCAAGTGGCCAACGCAGAGGTTCACTTCTTGACACCCGGAAAGACAGCAATGTCAACCCCGGACTTTGCAACCCCCGGGGCTGTTCATCATTGGGGGGGGCGCTACCATTGACACTATTTCAGGGTAACCAGAACACCTTTTATTAATCAACCAGGGTCTATTGATCCAGGGTTGACATTGGCAGAAATGCACTGACTGATCGGTGCACGCCAGCTTAGCATTGATGGTTGAGTGGTCCGAGCTTTTGCCAGTCAGCTGTAGACATTTGGCAATGACGGCCACTCACGACTATCAAACACACATTAAATAACCGTGATCTAACTTTGTCCTAAACTACACTGTCCTCCACAGCAGTAGAGTAGTAGGAAGCCAGGTTTTGGGTCAATATCAGTTCATATCTTGTTCAAAATCTGTTAACTTTCTCTTGAGATCAACTGAAGATCTATGGAAGCAAGAGCACTTAGCCAAGCCACTGGATGACACCACAACAAACTGCAGCCAAACCGCAGCCAAGCTACTTCACTGCCGCAACATCCGCAACATCCGCAACATGGCAACCAAGCACTTGCGGGATGCATCATGACCTGCTGACCTGACATCACTGGTGATGTCGCAGAAGCGACGACCCAATCCGGTGCTGGATGACTGCTGGGAACCTACTGGAGCTGAGTGTCTACAACGATGGTTGAGATGATATCATACAGTAGTTCTCCATTGTTAACCATTATCAACCATTTGTCCAGTCATTGGATTGAGGGAAAATCTGCAGGAAATCATGGTTTTTACTGTTTTTACCATTAAATATGGGGGTTTCCGGTTAAAATTTTCCCTTAAACCAATCCATGGTTTCAACCATGGTTAGTTGAAACCACCACCCCCAGATCAACCCAAGAACCCCATAGATCCCCTGATTCCGGCCTCCCTTAATAGGTCGTGGAATCATGAACTTTGGCGATGAGAGCCTCTATCTTGTGGGGGTCTAAAAACGGCAGCAGCAGATTCTGCAGATTCTGCAGATACGACTGCGACGTGAATGAACTGGATGTGAAAAATTCAGTGCTTCCAGAGGTGTAACGAGGGTAATTTTTTAGTCAATGCATTCCTCGTGTTCGCAAAAAAAAGGATGGCTTATTCTGAATTTTGTCTTCCGCGGGTTTTCCTCCATCATTGCACTTCTGTTGGTGAGGTTGTTTTAAAGGACTATGCAGAAGAGCTGCTTGCAGCGGTGCTCATCGAAGGGTACCATATGGGTGTGTCTGAAAATGGGGTATGCCCAAAAATGTCAATTTCATGTGGAAATATGATGAGAACTCATGGGACTTTCGTGTACCCCTATTTTCAGAGAAGCCCAGACTATGGAGGATCTGGGTTTACGCAGATGGTACAGGGTATGAATGAATAAAGTCAAACTACAAAGAGCGTGATGCTGAATGTGGGCTGCAAGTAGGTTGTTGGTTGATAAAAAAAATGGTCGCAGCAGGAGTCAAGGAGCGGGATAAATGCCATCATCTTCCTCCCCCAGCACCTATAAGGATTCATATGTTTTTCACACATCGTCTTCCTCTTGGTTGTGTTGCCTTTGTGTCTACCGGTACCAGAGGCTTCCCACAGGTCAGATTCATTTTTTGGTTTCACCAGCGGAAAAGATTGCAGATACTAGTAGCAAGTACATGTTCATAATATGGTAAATTCAATCGTAAACCTCCAATTGGGATGATTCATTGTCTTGGGTTTTCCACATTGGTTAACTATCCGTTGATTATCCTTTCATTAACATGCATCCATTATGTCTGCATGGGTTATCCATTATTCATCCATTATTTGTCCATTTATCATCCATTCATCATCCCTTCATCCATTAGTGCCTGTTTGTACCCCCAGGTAGTGGAACCTTTGGCCTTGCCATGGCCAGCATGGCCATCCCTTCCCAGGTGCATCGCATTGAATCTATGAATGACAAAGCGAGGCCAGGGTGCCATGGAATGGCGCCGTGCAGTTGGGTTTTTCCGGGGGTTCCTAAAATAGGGGTACCCCAGAATCATCCATTTTAATAGGATTTTCCATGAAACACACCATTTGGGGTACCCCATGAAAATGGAATAAAATGGAACCCCCCTTCTGTAGGGACAATCCGCATCGGGATGGGAAGCTTCAGACCTTTGGGGAATTCTTCACATAGCAACTTAGAATCTAACTTGAGAAGAGTGGAAGGAATCTTTTGATGATTTTGATTGCAATTTTCATCCATGTACAAATCAACCGGCCTTTTCCTTCGTTGCCTTCAGTCTTGGACTATGACCTCTTCATCATTCCTATGGATTTTGATTTTTGATGATGATTTCAGTCTTGGTTTCAGCAGGCTTTCCCTATGATTTTGCCATAGCTTTACCATATTTTCTTCCACTGCTGGCAATGTCCCTGGCACCCTGAGGCTAAAAGATGAGGTGGCCCTGCTGCGTGGCTCCGCCTCGTACATGGGCGCCGAGCGGCTGAAAATGGCTGCGGCTGCTCTGTTGCTGGCCTTGGAGTCCTGTCAAGGACGACTGCTGCGGCTGCTCCTGTTTGACAATTCTGTTTTGTTTCTGCTGAGATACCAGGTCCATCCAGCTAGGATATGGTAGGATACCAGGTCGACTGCCAAACCTGGCAACCAATATCGGTCAGGAAACGAGACTGCGCTGCGAGCCACCCTTTGTGAGCAGGCGGCATCTTCGGAGCAGTTCTGTGTAAATTCCGGCAACAAGCTGATATTGGTAGTGTATGGATGGCAAAGTGTGGATTCAGCAATCCCTGCTTGGCGAAAATGTCTACATATTCTCATTTTCCTGTTGATGTCTTCGTTTTCTGCTTATTCTCGGTGCTTGTTGTTTCATGTTTTCCATGCCCCTGGCGAGGCTCGAGCTGTTTGCGTGGAGGCAGACCCGAGCACAGAATTTCATAGAATTTCCGCATGAAGATGTCCTGTCACATGATGCTGGTGACATTCAAACTGCCTCAAACTTGACTCCCCAAAATTCGCAGCTTGGGATGCTTCAAGACTGAGTAATTGCATCTAATTACAGTATACTCCATGTGTGCCATGGCCCAAAAGTTGGGCAGCTTGCCATTGGGGGATGGCCATCCATCCATCATCAATCCATTCATAGCGAGTTATCCTACCAATTTTCCAGGCCCATGGGATGGGCACCGGGCACATCCCCCCGGTTCCGGCAGGCCCGAACCCTGGCCGCGGGCCGCAGTGCCTCCGGAACCGGCGCCGAGGTGGCGGCGGAGCTGGTGCCGGTGCTGGAGGGAGCAGGCGAGAAGCCGCCCAGGACGCGGCTGGAGGTCACTTTCACGGGGTTTTTGGGGAAATCCTCTCCAGAACCTGGGAAAAAGGGCAGGTTGAAGAGTTTTCCTGGAGTTGGGAAGTGGCGATCCATTCGTTTTTGGCCGAAGCTGCAGGAAGTGCACTGGTTGCCTCTTGCAATGAGGCACGCTAGAGCCCCATTGCACAGCGGGCAGCGAAAAAAGTCCAAGGGAAAATGGCAATGGAGTAATAGTGAATAGTTATCTTTTGGGTATCTGAGAATGGGAGAGATGGAAATTTAATGCGAACTAATGATAATCAACCAGCGGCTTTTCGGGTACGGCAATTTTCAGACAAACCCATAAATTTACAGCTGAAGAAAACGGAGAATTGTGTATAATCCAATCTGAGAATCCCTTGAAGTGGAAGTTGAGAACGACGGATGTTCGTAGATGATGGGCAGTCGCCAGCAGAAGGCTTGCAGGAAAGCACCAGACAGACTTTATATAGTTTTGAACCTGTTCCTTCCAAGAACTCGTGAGATGAGTGTAGTAGACTGCGGTCTTTCATCAAAGGTCTTTTGATTTTGTTCCTTTCCCTGCTTAGATGAGTGTGGAGATGTTTCGATCGCAAAGTTTTTTTATATGTCAAGAATGTGCAGCACTGCGGCCATCTGCGGCCATTTTGTTTGAGACCGTTCCCCTCGGAGCCCTGTGCGGGGAGTCCGTAGGAAGATCAGGATTGTGCTGTAGTTCTTGTGTTAGGGTTCCCTGTTCCCTGACCGCTACGCCACGCTGTCCACATTTGTCCACGGTGGCATGAACGAGTGGGGAACGCCTGGCCTTCCGCTTGCCGATCTCCCCGCATCAAAGTTTTGGCCTCGTGTGACAGACAATTTAAAGCTCGAAGATTCAGATCTTTGGCAAGAGGAACTAGGTCTTCATCCCAAAAGTCCTCTTTGGGATGGAGTGACGAAGATGATGATCAGGAGTCCGGGCCGGGAAACGGGCCAGGAAATGACCGGTTTGCACATTTGTGCGATTCCACTTGACCCAAATGAGTGGTGCGATGTTCAATGAAGTTCAAGTAGTCTCTGGATAGACAATGGTATACAGGTACCGCATGGTACCGCCACTTTGTGTCACCTGTTGCAAACCTGTCCTCATCTTCCTGCCACCAGGAATGTTCCGGCCAGATGCTCGCAGACAGAAATCGAACAGCTTCTGTCCTACGTGACTACAGATTTCCGCCTTCAAATGCCCAGATCATCAGAAAGAAAGTGCAAAGGCTATGCTTTCATCGAAGGCTTGGTGGTTTTTGAGCCTGGGATGGGATGAAATGGGATGAAATCTTCTGCAGATGGTCGGAGAGTGGAAGAAATATGGAGTAACTATCATTAGTATTGACCTTTGGGTGTCCCCGACTTTCGGACCCTGCTAAAGCTTACGCCACATGGATCCAAATGCTTGACCTTTTTCTCATGCAGGCGATGCTGACGTCATGAGGCGCTTGGCTCACTTCCTGTGGCAACGGCAAGTCCCCACACGGCACAGCTTGAGACCTTTGAAGATCCATCCAGCTCGTGGCTTTGAACAGCAATGATACGGCAATGCCCGGGATCGTTGAGCAAGCCGACCAAGAAACCACTTGACCAAGGACTCACAAATTTAACAATCTGAGGCCACTAGCAGTTGATACTGGTAATAGTTGGTTGGTAGGAAGGTGGGGGGTGTTTTGCGAACTCTGGACATTGATAGACTCACTAGCATTAGAGCAACAGACTTGTGTGATCTTGTTTTCATTCGACAGACGGACCTCTGTGGTAAAACCGTGAAACACCACCTGCGGCCTGTGGCTGCTCCTCCCAGATTTCTCAGATGTTGTAAGGCAAGCGTCTTTACACTTTCAGTGTCCTTTGGTGTCTGTGTCATGTCCCTTTTGTGCGAGCTGGGCTACGACAAAAAATTGTCCGAGCTTCACAGCTTCTCGGCAAAATGCTACATTCGACAGCCTGACACTTGCAGCTTCCGAACCGGAAGTTCACCAAATACCCCACTTCCGGGGACAGCCACAAGTTAACGCTTCGAAGCGAAAAGATGCCGCAGATTCTTGGGCTTTGCCAATGGCAGGAACACAGCCCTGCACGAGCAGGAATTATTGCGGATATGCCCAGAAAGTTTAACAACATGGGATAAATCATAATAATAATGATAATAATAAAATATTTAATAAACATAATCATAATAATCATAATGATCATAAACATACTAAGAATGACAATAATAGTAATGATAATAATAATACTACTAATATCTACTAATAACAATACTAATCATAACAACAACAACAACAACAACAACATATAATAATAATGATAATAATAATGAAACTAATAATAATATGTAATAGTAAATAAATAAATAAATAAGTAACTAAATAAATAAATAAAAAAGTAAATAAATAAATAAATAATAATATAATAATAATAATGATAATAATAATGAAAATAATAATAATAAATAAATAAATAAGTAAATAAATAAATAAATAAACAAATAAATAAATAATAATAATAATAGTAATAATATATTGTTTATGACTATTATAATCAGATACGATTATGATCATGATCATGACTATGATTATGACTACGTTCATGATGATGATTGTGAGTATGATCATGATTATGTTGATGAGCACTATTATGATTGTGAGATGTTATGATTATGAATATGAATGTGAGCATTAATATGATGATGATGATGATGATGATGATGATGATGATGATGATGATGATGATGATGATGATGATCATCGTCATCATCATCGTCATCGTCATCGCCAGCGTTATTATCATTCCTATTTGTTGCCAGCACGTTAGTAAGTTTGCCGCCAGGACCTGCCCAAGGTGCTAAGTGAAGACGAGATTTTGACTGCAGCACTGGCTCAGTGAACCCATGTGACTCCGATAGCGAAGAGACTTTAAGTGGCCCCCAGTGTGCCTGGAACATTGGTGAGGCTCCCACGTTTTGCCGTCAGAATCCAGGCCGGGTTCTGTGGGAAGGTTGTGAGCTGGTTGGTTCTGTGTCAAGAAATGAGTAAAGCAAAAGGAAATGAGGAAAAGGATAAAATAGAGCGCTCAAAATACCCAGACGATGTCATTCTATACTGGTGTGTCTGAAAATGAGGGATTTCAAATTGGAGGGTTACCCCATTTTCAGACAAAATCCAGATCTGTGGCTACACTATGGGTATCCCATTGTTCACCATATCTCCATTTTAGTTGGTTATGCATATAATTACAATCACATATACTGTATATATATATATATATCTATACTGTAAGTTATATTCCCCAAGCACAGCCTTTTTGCTTTTCCCTAAAAACATTTCCTGATAACTTTCAAATACACCTGCCAGGAGTACCATGGGCGTCACCAGCAGCCGTGACCTCAGACGCACCACTTCCATTGCTTAAGAGGGATTAGTACGTACTAGTCACCAAACATCATGGAACATGATGTAATGTTACAACGCTCACAGTATCACCCCACACACACACACATACACGCGCGCACACACACACACACACGCGCACACACATACATACACACACACTCACACTCACACTCACACTCACACTCACACACAGACACAGACACAGACACACAGACACACAGACACACACCCACACGCACACGCACACGCAGACGCAGACGCGCACGCGCACGCACACGCGCACGCGCACGCACACGCGCACGCACACACACACACAAGGCACACACACACACAAGCGCACACACACACAAACACACACACACATACACACACTGCGGGGTATTGGTGAGTAGAACTTTTGAGTGATGTTAATGTCGTCGACTAATGTCCTGAGTCGCCTTCAAAATCAATCACACGGAAATCTGCAAAATCGAAACAGTGAAAACCTTTCAGCATATACCTAAACAACCTGAGGATAAAAGCTTGGTCAACAGTTTCAGCAGGTACGTTGACTTGGCGTCCCAAGTCAATATCACAGAATGTCATAGCCGTCTTCGTTGGCTGCAGAACTGTGACATTCCCTGCAAGCCCCCTGCGTCATGAAAGTTAAACTGCTTGTTCTAACGGTGTACAATGGTGTACACACACAAACACAATGGCCCCGATTTGGGGCAATGCGCAAGACCTATTTTTACCTGGCGAATCTGAAAATCTCCCGGTGAGACAACCGACAATGAAAGCTACGGCACAGCGTTACAAGTTGTTCACAAAATGAATCGTCAAACAGAGAACGATAATGTAAATATGTCAACGCAATGAAATCCTGAATCTGAGCATCCCTTGCAGATGGTGGCCAAACATTCTGTAAAATAAGGCGAACACGAGCTGTAATCCCATTCTTGATAGTGCGAGACGCACCACTTCCACGACCGCTGTGCATGATTTGTCCATTGGAGGATTTGGAGGGGTTGCTGTCTGAGATTTGCACTGGGCTGTAAGTTCCGCATTTTGGCAACGCAATTCTTCACTCTGATCAAGTATAAGGCTTGGTCGGAGTCTTGGGCATGTATTGTTTGAGGTGTGTCGCAATGTTCTCACACATGGATTGGACAGCATCATGTTTTACCGTCCATTCATTCAAATCGGACCCAGAAGAGTTGAAGTGACTCAACAGCTTGTACACATCAATGGAGTCCCTTTGTTTGTAGAGTTCCTTGAATAATGTACTGGCAATCAAAGCATCAAGCCGAGTACGAAACATCTCAAACGCAACGTAGCGTCCATTTGCCAAAAGTCGAATCCCATAATTCTGAAGACCCTTGGGTACCACGTCCACTACCTTGATCTGGTCAACTGGTAAACCCGCAATCTGACTTTTGCGGGACCATTGAGTGCTTTCGACTACACGGGGGAAAGGAATCCCATACTCCTTGTTAGTGTCATAATGACTGGAAGTCGATCCCCAAGTACTAGGGTACTGGCTTAGTATCCTCTCCATGGGGAGACCGAAGATCTCGACGATTTGGTGCCCGACCCCTGGAATCACGCCGACGATGTGGAGAAGGACTCCGCCGACCAGATTGGTGATGTTGACGGTGCTGAGGTCCCCGCCGGGATCTAGATTGGAATCTCGTCCCATGATAGCAAAAATTGGTGTACTAATGATGGCTTGATGTAACTAGAAACCCGATCTTGAGTGAACATGTCCAGGTGTTAAAGTCTAAGTGTTACAAGAAAGGACAGTGTGAAACCTACATCGACAAGGTCAAAAGCATTTCTGTATGTTTGAAGCGTACATATGGACAGAGGAGCCAACAAAATTATAACTATGATGTAGCAATCCATTTCAACAACTCAGTGAGTAGAATGTGCAAAGTGTCCCAGAACCGCAACGAACATTTTTGCTGGAAGTCGATGGTCATACTCAAATTATAGTGAAACCCGTGCAGAACAAAGTGAAACCAATGCAAAGCAAAGTGAAACCAATGCAAAGCAAAGTGAGCCCGATTTGACGTAGATATGAAGATACGTGCGCAAACAAATAATTTACAGAAAAGCGGTGATTCCAAAAATCTGGCAGAGGTGGGAACGATATGATTATGTGATATTATGTGTACAGTCAAAGACATGTAACCCACCATGGTCCGAATACGTATCGCCTACACTGATGGTGAGATGATGGGATTGACGATTTCGCGCTTTCCTGTATATACAAAACGGTCTAAACGGGTCCTTGCAGTTGCTATACTTGCTTGCTTTACGAAGCACCTCCGGTTGTGCCTTAGTGTATGCAGCTGACGAGTGATCTTCACATATTTCGGCACGACAATAAATCCAGAAGTATACAGCCAATCCGGAAATTGTGCAGCACTTGGGCGATCGACGCCTTCTCGAAGAATTTCTGAAGCTGTAAGTCGCGCACAATTGTGAGCGAAAGCATAGCAAGATTTAAAGTCAATCTCAGGATGTTCGAAATGAGGAACAGTCATGTTCAATTTGACTCCCATCAATTTCCCATTTCGAGTGATCAGTGATACATCCTGGAAATGATCGGCAACTGAACTGTGGGAATGAATCGCGCAACTGACTTGTACACATAGTTGACGCAAAGCTGGTCTCATTTCAGTCTGCTGACTCAACGTTTGTGACAGAAAAATTGCAAGAGTTTCAGAAGCTGTTGCAAGCCGATTCTCTGGAGTACATCCAGCATTCTGGAAATAGTGCATTTTTGGAATATATCTCTGTTGATATTCCCGAAAACGATTCCATTCTTATGCATTCTTGAGTCTGCTGTTCGAACCATGAAGGTCTTTGGCCAAACGTTTCAACATCAACGTATACACCTGAGACCAATCAGTTTCTGTAGGGGTGGCCATGTTCTCTTCCAATGTAGTACAGGAGAAACTGGCTGTGATGGGACGCACAAACAATTATTGAGGAAGAGTGGATGAGGGACTTCCAAAATGATTTCCCCAGCAATGTAAAAAGATGTCAAAGTTGCTGGAAGTTTCGAATTGCGAAAATATGTGCTCTGTACAGTCAATCCACCATACTCATGAGGTTGTACAGCAAAACCCAACTGAGCCCCTGCAGATGTTGGCGATGAAGATCGCAACTGACAACCATAGGGCCCCGACTGCGTCCCAACTGTCTGTCTTCCCATCGTAGTCAGTGGATCACATTGACTGGGTCCCGGACCAAAGGTTGAGTGTCCAACAGTTAGGTGTCCGACTGTAGACAAGGGCACCGCACTAAATGCGGAGGGTTCCGGACAAGTAGTATCCGCTTGTGGACCCCGACATGGTTGATACACAGAGGTTGATACACAGACAAGCCATGCAAAGCATGAACATGGTAACATGGTGAGTTCACCAATGCTTGATTCATCATCATCGTTTGTTGAAAATGCAACATGGTTTGTTGCATTTCAGCCTGTTGTTCAGCATCGAGAAGCTGACCCATAAGGGGAGCTAACTGATCAGCAGTAGAAGCTTCTATGCGGTATTGTCCTAGTCGTCCAACAATGTTCAGCGAAACTGGAAACGATCCACCCGCATGGGTAGTCTGAACATTTGCAACAGAACTGGAAGGAGGAGGAGGCGGCGGTGTAGATCGAACAGGGATCTGCCCAGTAGAAAAGGCATCCGATGATGGCAAAGGTGGACTACGACTCTTGGGAAACATGGCTCGAACTAGTGAAAACGACCTTGTACGTTGAAAGACATGTAAAGTAATACACATTCAGGTAATGTTTTAAGAGTTCAAATCTCACGAAGATTGAACAGCTGAGACTTTTATTGCACCCGTGGTGCCAAAAACTTTGACATATGCCTACTTCGCCGAAATGGGCAAAACTTCTGCCATATGGCTTCTTCGCCTTATGGCTACTGCGATTCAATTTTACTGAGAAAAATTCTTGACTTTGTCGACATGACGCTTGAAATGCACGCTAGGTGCATACGGCTTCGGAGATCAATTCTCCATTCTGAATACGGGAAAATGCCCGCTCATCACTTTTAGATTGGTCGGAACCAACCGACGGTGTGACCAAGTCATGTCCAACACCCAGGACACACTGTGGGCTATTGGTTAGTAGAACTTTTGAGTGATGTTAATGTCATCGCCTAATGTCCTGAGTCGCCTTCAAAATCAAGCGCACTGAAATCTGCAAAATCGAAACAGTGAAAACCTTTCAGCATGTACCTAAACAACCTGAGGATAAAAGCTTGGTCAACAGTTTCAGCAGGTACGTTGACTTGGCGTCCCAAGTCAATATCACAGAATGTCATAGCCGTCTTCGTTGGCTGCATAACTATGACATTCCCTGCAGACCCCAGCATCATGAAAGTTAAGCCGTTTGTTATAACGGTGTACACACACACACATTATGACTAATGTGGTGATGACAATAGCGACAATCCCTTACACGTTTACAACACATCACAAGACAGCATCAAACATCGAATCATGCAGTAGACTTTTCCAGGGAAACACGACCTCAAAGACCTGTCTGAAATGCCATGCAGGCTTTTGTTGCACGGATCGCAGTGGTATCCGGAGGCCCTTGGGATCCCTTGTGCAATCATCCCAGCTTCCTGTGGATCTTCCAACAAAGGATGTAAACATAGATCTACCACAAGGGGACCCGAAAATGCGAAGATTTATCCCAAAAAATTGGACAATTACGGAACATTGGAATATTGTAAAGTCTGCCCCAAAACATGTGATGCTTTACTGGGATCTACCAAAAAAGATGGGACAATTTTCTCGGAATCATGGGTCTTAAGCCCTTTTCGGTGGTGGACAACCTCACTGAGGGCACCTATTAGCCCATGTGGTTGAGAAAATCATAGTCCCCATTCAAAAGGTCATACCTTGCCACCTTTGGACACCCCCAAATGTCCTTCTTGTATACCCATTATGACCTGACTTTAACCCATCGATTCTGATCAACTTTGGACCAGGTGGTCAAACCTGAACCCCAATCTTGATCAATTTTGGACAAAATCCCCTTTTTGGTTCAAACCTCAATTTTGGACCATATCCCAAGTTCTGTTACTTCAAAAAAGATCAATTTCAGATGGATCTGACACCCCGCCAGCCTTGCTCAGCCAAAACCTCGCTATATCGCGTCCTCTCAGAGGCAAAGCCGACCGCTGAGCACCTGCTATGTGGACTTCCACAAGCCAGTCGGAACCCTAGGATGAGGATAAAACCGCTGGAACTTGGAGGAAACCCCACAACAAATTGGGGATGAATCCGGATGAACAATGCCAGAATGGGTTGCATAAAAAAACAGGGTTTACACGGGGTTCCTGTAGATTTCCCTCGCATCGACCCAGCGAATGAAGCCATCAAAACGGCTGAAAGGTCGTGGAAAGAGTAGGCCTTAATGATTTTTGGCAAGCATGGAGAGTTTTGTTTTTCATCATGGACTAAATGTGGAAACCACCAGTCCTTTCTTGGAGACTTGTGGAAGATGGCATCCAACGACCAGTGAACAGCATGACACAGAACCGTGCCTGCAAAACTCGAGCAAAAGAAAGACTCACTTTGCCACAGATGAAAGTACCTGAAAATTCCAGTCCACGGCGCATCTTCGTGCTAGTTTGTCATACTTAACTTAAATAGACAAGTTTTGGTGGAGTTCGGTTCCCCCATCTTGCAGTTAGATAAACGTAAACAAACATGGATTCCCCGAGCTTGAACATCTCCATGTTGTCATTTCTTCCATGAAAATCTCCAGTTTATCATTAATTCCCCCAAACTTTGCCATTGAAGCCCTCGAATTTTGGCATGAACATCTCCAGTTTGATTCATGAAACATGGGTTTGTATGGTTTGTCATGGTTTGTCATGGTTTGTCTGAAAGTAGGGTACCCCTTGACCCATTGGTTCATCATCGTTATCCCATATTTTCCCATATTATCCCAGATTTTACCATATGTTGTCATATCTTCCCATATTTTTCCCGCCTTTTTTGGGGGGTCCCAAGACACACAGCCAGGCGGAAGTGACCCAGCAAGGTGGGGCGCAGGCGCGTCTCTTCCGTCTGCTCCCCGTGGTGGCGCAGCAAAGTGGCACCGGCAACGGGCGCAGGCCCCGGTCGGTCGCTGGTCTGAAAGTTTCCCCGTGGTTCATGGGGATCTAAAACAAAAGGGTAAATCAAGTTAAATCTATCTGATTTTTTTTCCCTAAAACACACCAATAAATAGAAAAAAACGAACATATACAAATCAATACGTTTTTTCTAAAATTCAGGAGACCCCAAAACCCATGGTTTAAAGTATCATTTTCATATGACATTCCTTTTCTATTGGAGAGAAGCCCTGCCCACTGTCAAAGTTGGTGTACAACCCCCTTTCCCATGGGATGAGGATGAAGATTTCCCCAGTGTCTATGGAAATTTACCGCAAAGACAGATATTTTACCAGAACCGATTAAGGGGCCATCTGAATGGGGCGCGTGCCAACGAGTTGCGAGCTATGTCAGTGCGAACAGAGGCACTAGGGTTTTTAGCCATGCCCAATCACGTGAGTCTATAATTTACAAAACATATTATTAATAATTGTATTAATAATTGAGTTTATGCTGGCACTCTACATGCAGCTTGTTTCCTTGCTGAATTGCTGTGGCTTTCAGCGAATGTGACCGAATTACTGCCAAGTACTGCAATGCGCATTCTCGCTTGCAAATGTGCACCCATTTGCTGGTTGTAGGTTTGTCTTCAACATTGGTAAACTACTGTTGTTTGGAGATTGATAAACTACATCAAACTACCGTTGTTAGGGGTTGGCAGTTTCCAGTTGCACAAAGTGCCAACCTGAGTCGTGTCTCTGTCAATGTCCTGTCACCAGGTCGCTGGGAAGTGGAGGTCCAGAGCCACTTGGTGAGATTTCTTCCAAATTAATCATAATAGTAATAATCATGATCTTTAAAGAGCAATAGGATTAAGATAGTTATGATCTACCCCCTAATAATTTTAAGTACCTCCAGTAATCAAACATGGCAGGAAATGCCTCCATAGTTCCATGATTTTGCCAACACAACCATCATTTGTGATGATTTCCCAGCTAGCCATGTTTGATTACCACAGGGTAACTTTAAGGGGTTGCCCCATCTCAGTGAGGACTTTGGGCCAGAAATTCTCGCCAGCTGAGGTGGTTGGGCAAGGATGTGAGTAGTAGCTTCAACGAAGTGGATTTCTACAACGAGGTGCTTCACATGCGCCGCTGGCTGCAGCAGGACTGTGAAATCTCGGTAGGAACACTCATGTGGTAAGCGAACAATAAACCGCATTACTGGGGATTTGCTGTGATAAGTGGCAGACATTGTGTAACCACATACATATTGTTGTATGTATATCATATATATATACCTATATATATATGCATATGTATATGTATATAGATATACATTATATATATAGAGATACACATTATATATATAAAATTAATATCCACATTCAATGTTCTTGTACGACACTTTGCACACAATTTTGTGCGCAGGATCCACCCCTCCAACCAGTGCCCAAATTGTTGGAGCCACAGAGATGTTGTGCCTGGTGATCGAGGGTTTTCTTGGGGAAATCTGTGCTGATTCCATCTGCTTCCATATTTTAATTGGGATTTGGCAATTTAGTAAGAAACATCGGGATGGGGTTATGACCAACTGAAGTCTGAACATAGAGTATGGGCCCATCCAAATAGCAAGTTTTGTGTTGAGAAAATGATGATAAACTATTAGAAGTACTAGAGTGCCAGGTGTATTTTCAGATAAACCCAGATTGGATATAGTTGGTGTATATATATATATAAATATTTATATCCCACTATAGTATACCCCCAAGAATATACTCATATTCCCATGAGGGGTTTCCCACACTGTCTCAGGGGGCAACAGGCGGGGGCCTCGGCTTAGTTTCTGTGCCTTATTCTGACGCATACCCAGCGCGGTGTTGTGGGATGGACGTCACCCCAACCAGTCATGCATATATATATATATATAAACTATTATATCGTTATTTTATATAATGTATATTTATAGTATTTAAGTCATCTTATACACAGATGTGATATTACTTGATAAAGTATATATGTATATGTATTAAATAATATGTCTATGTATAGATATGTATATGTGTATGTGTATGTTTTGAACAAGTGTATGTATATGTGTATGTACATTCATATTTAAACACACAATATTATATAATGTACCGTAAAATAAGACAATATATATAATATATAAATAATATAGTGAATAAGTTATAACAAATAATATACAATACATTATATAATCTTTAAAGTATAATACATAAAATATAATATAACATATAGAATATATTAAATAGTATAATTATATAAACAAGATAATATATATATATACATATACGTATTATAGTATATAGTACATGATATAAAATTACATACAATATACAATATATATATATGTATAGTATATAATAAAACATATAATATAATATATAATAAATAAATATTTATATATATATATTAAATATAATATATAATATGATATTAAATTTTGTCAAATGATTTATAATGTATAATATATAACTTTTTTTTGGATATATATATATATTTAATATTATATATTATATTTAATATATCATATAAATTACTGTATGTATATAATATATGATATATATGATATATAATATACAATGTTATATATGTGCATACATAAGAGAATTTATATAATATTTAATATATTAGTATATAATACAGATAAAATATGATATACTTTATATAGGATATATATAGTATATAATTCAATTAATGATATAAGAGATAGTATCTGATATTTAATATCTAATACCTATAATATATATATATTATTTAATGTAAAAGATATGTGATTTAATATGTAATATGTAAACTGTAATATCTGATAATATTATATATAATTTATAGTTTATGATATAGAAAATATATAGAATAATACAGAATATAAAAAATAGTCTACACTTCATAATCTATGATATATTAGATATGAAGAATCATATATTATACCTATTTTATAATTTATGATATATACAGATATAATAATATAATAATGCAATCATGTCGTGATAAAAGATAACAATAATATTGAATATATAACAATAGAACAGCATAACAATATCATGATATAACAATATAACAAAATTACAATATAATAATATACTCATTTAACTCATGATATGATGATATAACAGTATAATAATATAATTTCATGTGATATAATATAATATAGTATAGTTTAATATGATATAATATAATATAACATAGAATATAGTATAGTAGAATATAATACAATGTAACATAAAACACTGTGATATAATATAAAAATATGATGTATGGTGTGGTAGTGGAATATAATGATATAGTAATATAATTTAATGCATAATAGTAAACTAATACAACCACACAATATTAGACTATAATAAAACATTTGATGATCCGAAATGATATAACCACTATAAATACAGTATAGTACAACGCAGTATACTATAACATTGTATGGTTTAGTATGGCATAATATAGTATAGTCTAGTACAGGAAAGGATAGTATAGCATAGTATGGTATAGTATGATACAAAACAGTATAGTATGGTACAGTATAGTTTAGTACAGTACGGTATAGTCCAGTTTCGTATGGTATAACATAGTATAGTCTAGGATAGTAAAGTATAGTATAGCATACTAAAATTTAGCATAGTATAGTATGGTGTAGTATAGGATAGGATAGGATAGTATAGGATAGTAGAATATATATATATTTGTATTTATATCTGCATACAATATAATAGAAATATGGAAACATATAGAAATATACAATTCCCATCAGCATGGGGGTATTTTTTCCTGACATCTCGTTGCCCTCCAGAAACAGTTGTCAGGTAAAGGAGGAAGAGTACGAAACCAGTCAGACCCCCTGGGGCATCATCGATTTCATGGTGAGCCGCGTCCTTGGCATGTCTTCACGTGCATTCGACATTTCTCAGCATTAGAGTTGCCGAACTCATTTCTTGCCAACCCAACGCAATGGCCCAAAATTTGGTAAACACCATTAGAGTATAAACTTTATACCGCCCCCAACCATTAGAGTTTATACCACTCATTTCTGGTGAAAACAGGGGATGGGAAAAATGCTTGGTGGGCTCGGCCGAGCCCGCCGCTCAGGTTACCATGGCCTTGCGCGCTCATGTACTTGCTCATGGGTGGCGGATGGTCGTGAGTGGGGTATCCGAGTGGAGGTGATAGGTGAATATGGAAGGGTCATTGCCATGGAAAATTGAAGAAATTTATGGGATATTCAGGTTTTATGGGAATATCAGGGGATAATATTTCATCACCAATCTATAACTGCCACTTATTAATAAACATGTTGATGATAAACCAATATGTTAAGATTTATGCCACCAATATTTGGTCCAGCATGCGGTAAATGTTGGAGAAAACATTGGGGAACATGATGATCAACAATGAAAACGTCAATGAAAGGTTGTGTTTGAAAAGGGGGATACCCCAGAAATGCCAACCAAATAGGCAACATATGATGTTTCACCATTCCTTTTTCAAATTCCCTTTTTGCAGCCATAATTTTGTGGTACCCTGGGGCATTGGATTATCAACCCCCCAACATTGTCAATCTCAATCTTTTCCCAAATTGCGGAGTACTTGCATTTTGGACTTGTCCAAACTGGGTCATTTCACCCTGCGAAATGCACTAGTTTCGATTTTAGAAAACGAATCTGGGACATTTTTGTGGGGTAAATGGGGGTAACGACTGTGGGATATAACATATAGCGGACTTTCGGAGAAGCCCAGGTGTTTGTGGGGAGTTTGAACGCCAAAACAGATGGTTGTTGAAGATGATCCCCCAGTTTGGCGACAATTGTCGTATCCGCAATGATCTAAACGAGCAGTTTCCAAAAAGCAAGTTGGTTGATGATTGTAGGGGCTTATGCTACCCAACATCCTACCCAATATGTTGGGGATTATCATAATTATCATGAATGCGCTGGGAATTCCTATGACAACCATTCATTTTTTTTACTTTTTGACATGAAGGAAAGGTTCAGCAAAGCCAGATCTGCTGATGTCCTAAGGCGGCACCGGGTGGCGGATTTGCTGGTCTTCCGAAGTCCCTTTGAAGGATTAGCGCCTACAGCTCAGTCGAGGGTGAGTTGAAACCACCAAGCAGTTCCGTCTTTCTTTCATGGGAAGGAGCTCCTTCTGGAGTCGATGCTAACTGCTTGGACAGCTCAAAGATGGAAAACCTGGGAAGAGAAGGGTAGCTGCTTAGTGGTTTCACATTTTCTTTTCCATCCATACTTCTTGATGATGATGATGATTATTATTATTGTGACTATTATTGTTGTTATCATAATCATAACTTTTATTGTTGTTGTTTATATGACCAGGTAGGGTGTTTCTGTTTGTAGGGTGTTTGAGTTTGTGTTTGTGAGGCGGCCACGGATGCTTCATTTGGAGTTGGGACCCAGAAGCTTAGCCGTTGGCCCAGTGCTTTCATTGAGAACCATACATGGAGATGGGCTAAACTTCCAAATTTCCTCACAAAAAGTTGGGGTACCATGGGGTATCCAATAATTGGATGGCTATTTGTACAATTTACCATGACCTCAATCTGTACAGAGGCTCAAATTTGACCATCCACAAAGGCCATGGCATCGGTTACTGTTGGTTCCTCTGAGGCTTTACAGGCTCGACACGAGAACGAGGTCTCCACAGGCATCCTCGCACGTCAGGCACTGATGGAAGATGTTGGCAACTTGAGACACAAAAGAAACAGTTTTTGAGACTCTGCTTCTTGCAGTTGTGTAACCAGAAGTTACAGTATCGGAGTTATTTGTAAACTCCAGGTTGAAATCAATGGAATGACAGTCATAGGCCGCCCCTGTTCAGGAAGGCATCTTCGTGGATGGTTTCTTATCACCGCCACAGAGCATCCCCAGTGAAGGTCCCACGCTGGACCTACGAGGCAGATCTGAAGGTCCTGAAGAGTCAAAGATTCTTCAAGTATTGAATGTGTATATACATATGTATTTCATTACATAAAAATAATTATATACACATATAATATACATATGTATATATATATACACATTCACATACACATACCTATTATATACATGGACACACACACACGCACACACACATATATATATATGTCATATATGTCATATATGTATATATCTATATATCTATATCTATATATATCTATCTATATATATATATATACACATGTACCCATGTGACAGAACCCATGGTGCCGGATTTTGGTGGGAAATGAACATCCATCCATAAATTGCAGCTACCATTGTTCGCGGAGGCTGGTCGTGGGGTGACAACACCCAACGACGAGCCAAGCGCCTGCCCCTGCAACGGCTGCACCTTGCAGAGGTCAATGGGATGTCCAACATGTTTATCTATAAATATATATATATGTATATATACATGTATATGCATAAATATATATATATGTATGTATGTATGTAATGTAATGTAATGTAATGTAATGTAATATAATGTAATGTAATGTAATGTAATGTATGTAATGTATGTAATGTATGTATGTAATGTATGTATGTAATGTATGTATGTATGTATGTATGTAATGTAATGTAATGTAATGTAATGTAATGTAATGTAATGTAATGTAATGTAATGTAAGTATGTATGTATGTATGTAATGTAATGTAATGTTATGTTATGTTATGGTATGGTATGGTATGGTATGGTATGTATGTATGTATGTATGTAATGTATGTATGTATGTAATGTATGTATGTATGTATGTAATGTAATGTATGTATGTATGTATGTATGTATGTATGTATGTATGTATGTATGTATGTATGTATGCATATATATATATATATGTATGTATGTATGTATGTAATGTAATGTAATGCAATGCAATGCAATGTAATGTAATGTAATGTAATGTAATGTATGTATGTATACATTTAAGTGATCATTTCCATTTTCACAAATTGCTGGAAAACGAAACCTGGAACTTTGGGATGGGCATCACTTTATAAAAAGGGGATTGTAGCTCTGTGGCGCTTTCTGGGACCCACATGCAAATTTGAGCTGACATTAGCAGTGCTATCTAAGCACATTTTTTAAAATTCCAAGACTAAAACGTGCAAGTTACAAGTCTCCTGCAAACAAATTGTTGAAACAATTGGAGGACGATATCCACGCTATTCCAAATCAGAAACATTAAGGGCTGAAAAAGTAAGAGAGAGAGAGAGAGAATTTGTGCAATGCTGACTGCAAGGCTCTGAACAGCTTGCTGGATTTGCGAGCGGCGATTGCCGAGGACTCCGCTTGGAGTCTTGTTGTTGCCCTTTTTAATTGGTCAATGAATGATGTTCACCACTAAATGTGTGGTACGTGTTTCCTGCGTATTTTTCTTTAAGCTAATCCATTGAATTGTCTTTTCAGGGGCCTGCCGACAGGAACGCTTCTGGCCGAGTGAGGATAGTGTGGTGGGGAATCTCGGGGCTTGGCGATCTTGACGCTGTTTCTCCCGGGGAATGTGTGGCTAAACTGGAAATACCAACTCACTCCTCGGATCATTCCTCAACAATGTGAAGAATGATATGTGATGATAAACAGATCAGTAAGTCTAGTCATATCTAGATCATCTGCCTTTGTACATCAGTTTTGGGTCACAAGGGAGGATGTGTCAATGGGCAGCGCTTGAGGTTCCTGGACAAGCTGCAACCTCACGAGGCGGGAGATTTTTCACGGGTGGCAGGGGGGTCGCAACGTGGACGACTGACGACTGAGGTGATATCTTCCTGCAGAAGTTCCTGAGCGCAGCAGAGTATTCGGAGCTGGCGTTGCGAGCCTTTGTGCAGGGTCGACTCAGCAGGGTCTCGGGCCATGCCATGGACAATCAAAATTGAGTCCGCCATGAAATGCATCTGGAATGACTGTTCACCAATTTGGATGAGCCTTCGCCATCCATCCCTCGTTTTTTTTTTTTTCAAGATTATCATTTTGACTGCTATGAGATATGCTCTATTGCTCCATGTAAATCTCTTTTCAAATGGTTGTTGAACATTTTTGAACCATCATGTGAACTCAATTTTACTCACATAATTCCCATCATTTACCCATCATTTTCCCAGCTGTTCCACTGGGAGTGTGGGTCCTTTCAGGTCAGAGCTCACCAAGCTGATTCGGGCCGTTGAAGAAGTCCCTGTGCCACAGAAGTGGGCCAGGATGCCCAGCTGATGATGATGATGATGATGATGATGATGAGTATTCCCATTATCATTATTAAATATCATAATATGATATAATAAGTGGGGCTGGCGCCCCTATGCCGCCGACCCCTGGGACCAGTTGGCTCAAAGCTGCAAACCTTGCCTTTACCTGCCGTTCGGCACTGCCACCCTAGGTTCAAGGACGCTTCGTCTTGCAGGTGGCGTTCGTCTGGCACACCTCAAGTCCAAGGACGCTGCCGCAGCACCAAAACATCATGGCAGTGAGGGACGGATCGGGCCCGCGGCCGGCAGCCCTCCCAACGTCACTTTCTGAACGCCTAGAAACGAGCTGCAAACCTTGCCTTCAGCTGCCGTTCGGCACTGCCACCCTAGGTCCAAGGACGCTGCCGCAGCACCAAAACACCACGGCAGTGAGGGACGGATCGGGCCCGCGGCCGGCAGCCCTCCCAACGTCACTTTCTGAACGCCTAGAAACTAGCTGCAAACCTTGCCTTTACCTGCCGTTCGGCCCTGCGCCCTAGGTTCAAGGACGCTTCGTCTTGCACGTGGCGTTCGTTTGGCACACCTCAAGTCCAAGGACGCTGCCGCAGCACCGAAACAGCATGGCAGTGAGGGACGGATCGGGCCCAACCTCACTTTCTGAACGCCTAGAAACTAGCTGCAAACCTTGCCTTTCCCTGCAACCCTGGGTCCAAGGACGCTGCCGCAGCACCAAAGCACCATGGCAGTGAGGGACGGATCGGGCCCGCGGCCGGCAGCCCAGACTGCCAAACGTCACTTTCTGAACGCCTAAACTAGCTGCAAACCTTGCCTTTACCTGCCGTTCGGCACTGCCACCCTACCTGTAAGATCAAATTGTAGTAAAAATACTCGCCGAGTAATTTACTCGCCCGTGTAAAATTTACTATCGAATCATGAAGTAAATTTACTCGAAATGTTGCCGAGTAAATTTTTACTCAAGAAGAGAAAGTGCAATGAACACATTGCAGTTTGCAATGCCCACATTGCAGTTTGCAATGTTCATTTTTTTTCTCACAAATGTCCACATTGCAGTTTGCAATGTCCACATTGCAGTTTGCAATGTCCACATTGCAGTTTGCAATGTCCACATTACATTTAGTCGCCCGAGTAAATTTAGTCGGAATGTAAATTTAGTCGGAAAATTTAGTCGTTGACGACTAAATTGAGTCGAATGTAAAAAATGTAAAAAACTATTTTTGACTAAATTTAATCGGCGAGTATTTTTACTACAATTTGATCTTATGGGTAGGTCCAAGGACGCTGCCGCAGCACCAAAACACCATGGCAGTGAGGGACGGATCGGGCCCGCGGCCGGCAGCCCAGACTGCCAAACGTCACTTTCTGAACGCTTAGAAACTAGCTGCAAACCTTGCCGTTAGCTGCCGTTCGGCACTGCCACCCTAGGTTCAAGGACGCTGCCGCAGCACCAAAACACCACGGCAGTGAGGGACGGATCGGGCCCGCGGCCGGCAGCCCAGACTGCCAAATGTCGCTTTCTGAACGCCTAGAAGCCCCAACATGTCTTTTCGAATTGCTTCACAAAAGTTAGTTCTCTCAAGGCGCTCCCCCGCTACAGCAGGGGTCGGCGGATATGTTATTGTTATTATCATCATTATTATTATTTATTATTCTTATTATTTGTTATTAATATCATGATTATCTAACCATTCTGAAGTCTTTCGACATCATTATAAACTCTTACTATCATTATTCGTACTGCTTATGGCTAATATCAATATTGTCAGTACAACAGCAATTATTCGCATTATCCGTATTTTGATTATTATCATTGTCATTACTAGTACTATGGGACCGTTGTCACTGCTACAGTATAATTCTGTCCGGTCATCGCAGATGGGATGATCTTTGCTGAGGTCCAAAGTTCCCTGGCGTTGTTAGTTGAGGCATGGCCAGTTGGCACTGGAAGGTGGTGATTCATCGTGTCCCGGGTTTGAACTTCTATGTGCTTGGATGAAAATGTCGAAAAATCCGACAGCTTTAAGCATCTTTATCTTTGATGTCGCAAGCCCTGAATCATCCGCAGGCTGGGGTCGCGCCACCACGTGTTGGACCTATTCAACCGGAGATCTGGGTTGCATCTCGTGTGAAGCCAGGGCGTCCCAGCAATGGTGTTTGATATGTCACGAAAGGTAGCCTAGGCTACCTGAGTTCTATGTACTTTAGTACTAGTTTAGTACTGGGGGAGGTGGCTGGCCCTTTCCCGGAAATTGAGAGCTGAGAGTAAGGAATCTCCACTTAGGGCCCCCCCCCTTTCGATTCCCCCCTGGTCCGCAGCCAAAAAAGGAATCAGCGCATGTGGAGATTGGTGATATTGGATATTTAATATGATGGGGAACAGCTAACATGAACCATAAACATAATATATATATATAGATATAGACTATAGTGGCTGTGTCTTGTTGCATATTGCCAGTTATGGATCCATATCTTCCATTCAGATGCCAATGCCGGCGGCTGACCAGAGAGGTCCTGCACACGGCAAAGTGACTCAACTGAACCTCTCTCGGTTGAGGCACTATGAGTTTGGACCTGTTGCATTGAAAAAACATCTATCTTCACAGAAGAAGTTCGATGCTTCCACCATAACACCTTCATTTCTCCTCTTCAGCAACTGCTCTCTTCGATTGCGGCGCTCTGTCCTCCCACTATCAATCTGGTGTATTGCAGCACGATGTATTGCTACTCATGTCCTAGAATGTCACAGGGTTGAATGATTGCGCATGCATGCTGGATTGGCATGATAAGCAGCTGCTACTGTTCCCAGCTCGACACTCAGAAGATGATCCAAAATGCGATGTCCCTCCAAACACTCCTGGGCATAAATTTGCGAACCCTCCACTCCCCTCCATTAGCCTGCAGCTTTCCAATCGAGAGGACGAACTGCTTCGTCCATACACACACACGCACATACCTTCATGCATACATGGAGGCGTACATGCATGCATCAATATATGGCTACATTGATATATACCTGCATACATTCATAAATGCGTACATTCATCCACACCTGCATACATGCCTGCATGCATATGTGCATACATCTCACACACGGACATATACATGCTTCCTACATGCCTACATGCAGACTTGCAGACATTCCTACTGTATGTGTTAGAAACATTCATGCAGGCCTGCACACATACATGGACACATAGATGCATACGCATACAGGTGTACATACTTAGGAACCGACATTTCTACGTACCACATGCCGTCATTCCGTCTTTGTTCTCATTAGATACCCACACGTGAACGTCCCTGCAGGCCTACATTCCTCCACAGCTACACCCCTACATGCATGCACATTGCACAGCTACAAAGCTGCATCTGCCAACATGCCTGCAGGCGTGTGCACCTAGACATGTACATACTTGCAGACACAAGTACATGCATGCTTGCATACATGCATGCATACCTGCCTAGCGACGCACGTTCATGCACGCATACACAGATGTGCATGCATACGGACTGGCATTCACATACTGCACATGCCTGCAACATGTTGGCATAGATACATACATATGTAGTTGTATACGTCGTGCAGTTGCAGCCACGGGCCCAGCAGCGATAGCCGGGTGCATGCCATGGTCCTAGCAGGGCCCTTAGAAAACCCGGAGGAGAAGCAACTACTACATGAACTCTGGCACGAAGCCAGTTACCGTGTCCACGGCAACTGGCTTCGTTCTGTGCATGTTCCCGCAAACGGCTGCATCATTTATCAAAGTGTACACTGATGTGCTGCTATCAACTCGCAACCTGCTGCCAGCAACAGCTCAAGAGCGACTGCTTCCTCGAGCCTTCGAGATCCGCGAGACAGCACAACCTGAGCACATGCCTAGCCTTGCAGCTGCCCGGTGCCAAACGGCAGAATTCAGCATCACATTGCACAAAACCACACTCTGACACCCTAGGATGCGATCAGCATCTACTAAACACGACATTGCAGCACACTTCCAAACTTCATGCTCAGCCCCTGGCCTCCACAGCCAAAGTCTGGTCTCTGGAAACTTTAATCATCCCACTCCAGTTACATCAGCCATCCTCTGACAGGTTCCCTAATGGCATGCACCGGTCAAAAAGAAGTCTCAAGCCGTGCATCCTGGATGTAAACATATGTAAACTAGGTAGACCCTGGCGACGGCTTTCTAAGGCTTTGCCAGGCATCCTTTGCACCCCATCTATTTTCAGCATCATGCAATGACAATCAATGACAATGGAACATTGGAAAAGTTGGTACATCATTGGACTCAAGGTGTGTGTGGCGGTGTAACAGTGAAGCCATCGTTTCGGGACCCGCCTCTCCTCTGGCAAATTCGGGGCTCCTCTTGCCTGTCCCTCCTGTATTTGCCCCCACCTACCTTTCGCCCCCCCCCCTCTCAAGTGTGGAGGGATGCCATGTCCGCAGAGCTGAGGATTCAAATTCTGGGCTGGAGCAAAAGTCGCTTGAGCCTTCCTGAACAGACCACTGCGGATGAGCGGCAGGCCAATCGTAGCGCAATGGAGACATGTTTTTCTTTTGGAAATTCCAATTCTCTTCAAAGCAGTGACCTCTTTGCCACCGCAGTGACAGGATCACGAACTGCCATGGAAAATCTACCAACATCACGTGGGTGAGGATCTCAGGTTCACCATCATAATGCCCAGAATCCTGCTTTATCATAGTCAAAGGCTTTTGACAGTAATGGGAAATGATGGGAAAATCATGGGATATGGCAATCGACGAGCAAAAAGAGGACATCTTGACCAGGCTTAACCAAATATAACGTTATTTCTGGGTATGCTGTTATACGAACGGCTTGCATGGGAATGATGGAGGAATCCAATAAAATTTGGGTCGCAATCAAGGGCCAGTCTGCAGCTCAGGTAGAGTTTTGTGGGAATCAGCGCGCCTGTACTTTCATAACTTTTGTGCAGAGGACCCGTCCATGATTCCCACAGGAAGTGTAGCCAGCCCGAGACAACCTTTTGCAAATCGAGGAACCTTACGTCAAGCTCACTGGGTCTCTGCAGAACGTATCCGTAGAACGTAGAACACACACATAAACATACATGTACATGTAATGTATGTAATATATTATATATAATATAGATATAATATTTATACCTTGTTTCCACATCTAGTTGGATATTAATGGTGCTTCGTCAAAAAATTGCCCAGGAGTGGGAGACCTTGAAGGTGCACATCTACGAGATCTCCAAAGGTGGGCCAATTGCAGTGGTCAACAAGCAGGTAAGGTCAGTATGTGGAGATGATTTATGATGAAGAAAAAAACACATAATTATATGGTGTGTATATATCAATAGACATATATAAACATATAAACATATATAAACGACCTAACTAATGTGTATATATATATACATACATAATACATAAATAGAGAAATAAATAAATTACTAAATGAATAAATAAACAAATAAATGAATACAAACAACATAAACAAATAAATAAACAAATAAATAAATGAATAAACAAATAAACAAATAAATGAATACAAACAAAATAAATAAATAAATACAATAAATACATACATGTATATATATATATGCACTATTATACATACATACATACATACATACATACATACATACATACATCCATGCATGCATGCATGCATACATACATACATCCATCCATACATACATACATACATACATACATACATACATATATACATACATACATACATACATACATACATACATATATATACATATATATATATATTTATATCTGTATAGGTAAGCACATGCACGTGTCCATTGACTCAGTTCTGTTGCACCTGGTGCCTTGCGTCAGGGAACAGCACAGTTCTGTGCACTGGCACCTTGAACCTGTGCGATGGGGTCAGAGGCCTAGGGACTGGGCGGGGCTCGGGAGCCTCGCAGGAGCTGGAACTAGAGATTTGTGGATTTTTCGACGCAGATTTCACAACTGGGATGATGATCCGAGATGACTATGGATTTCGTTGGATTTTTAGCAGATTTCGGTGACATATCTTGGCTGTTTCAGAGGCCGAATTGGCTCAACTTGAAGAATCCCACTATAACCACATTACAGTATCATCACGTATCATCACATTATTATCCCGAAAAAAAGATACCATTGTACTACCATTGAGATCCCGTCTTTTCATTGACTCTGGCAGACCCAGGTCTCTGAGTCGTGCACACTTCAACTCTTCAGAGGACTTCGCTGTTTCACTTTTGGAGACAGCGACATACCAATTTTTCATCCAAAGATGGATGCAGGTATAGCATCCAGCAAAAGCGATGCAAACAAGTTAAATCCGATTCACAGATATTCTAAAACGCCTGGGAAATTCAACCTTTCCTAAATCTTTTTTGGGGTTAGTGTAACCAATGGTAGCCCAACTAAGCTGATACCTTGGCTGGGGGAGATGACTTGGTGAGGAGAAAAAGCGATGGAAAACAGCATGGGATGGCCGTCGCAGGCGCCCAGAAGGGGGGCTCCTCATGGATTGGACGGAAGAGTAGAAACAGTTGGAATGGTGAGTTCTTTAAAGATCTAAAGTTCAGGCAAGTCACTTCTACTCCTTCAGAATTGTGTCATCGGATGTCAGGCGCTGCTGACGGTAAAGTTTTTGGCCTTGCCGGAGCCCTCACATTTTGCGGGTCTTTGGCCAGACCCCAAGTGACCCAGTGCTGTTGGTCACCGGTCCATTGAAAAAGGGATGACCTGATGAGACCTGCAATTCCTGCGCCAAGCTGATGTTCAACTGAGGCAGGTCCGAGTAGATCGTACAGAGAACCTGGAAGTGGGGAACTCGGGAAAACTTGGAGACCACTTTTTGCATCGGGTTTCATAACGGCACACATGCTAACCGTTGGGTTGAAAGGGAGCTGGGCCAAGCCTCATGTTCGAGGATCCCCCAAGATTCATGTATCATGTGCTAATTTGAGTATGGCTTAAATCCATCTCAACATCAATTTAGCATCAACATATCCAACACTTGGGATGGTCTTATACCCAACCCCACAGATCCTACAGTGGGACAATACCCACTAGATCCTGTTAGTAAAGCAATAGTAAACTAGTAAACCATACCTCATTTTACCATAAATGGGTGGTATAAAAATCATTAATTTATATGGGTGGTTTATTGTTACTTTACTAACATTAATGATATCCCCATTACTGCAGCGGTCGTCGGTCACCAAAATCCCCAGCAGAGATCAACGCCGATCCGCTGTGCATCGTGTTGGTGGCGACGAGCAAAGGCAGGGAAAACCACCAGCTCCCAGCCGCTCCCAGGCATTGGTTCAGTGGTTCATTGAGCTCTAGAAAGCCCTAGAGTTGTGGGTGCCTCCCACATCTCATCACTCGGATATTTCCAGGGACATCATGGGAATCTGATCAATACATGACCCAAATGATATGGCTACAGATTCGAGACATTGGGATACTAACAGGCCGAGAAATTTGTCATTTTTGCAAAGCTTCAAACCATTCATTCTGTGGGTTTGTTTGAAAAAGCCGGCAAGCAATTTCAAAGGATTGGAACAGCCTGTTTCCCTGTCTATGGAAAACAGTCTATCATAATATCATATAATATAATACACATGTATGATTTCCCAGGTGTTGGAGGATACCAGATTTGGATGTACCATGATGTATCACCATGGAGGTTTGCAACGATGAAAGCGTTTTGATGGCTTTCCTGTTGATCTCCTTCTGCCGAAGGGGGGAGACACTCCATGAGCCACCGAACGAAGGAGGCGCAACAGATGGGCAGCAGATCGTCCGAAAATCTTTCAGTTGATCTTCAAAACCAATCCGGCGACGATCATAGAACCACAAGTAACCATAATTAAGCATTCACGAGCAGTTGTTGTTTTCAAATCACTCATTCCAGACTCACCTAAAATTTAGGATCGGATCAATTTTTGATTAATTAAACAATTCATCTCAATCTTTTTCGGCAGGCGCCTGCGGCCGCACAGATGTCCTGGAACGAGGAAGTGGAGTTTCCCGTCATCGTCCGAAGACCTGGAGCCATGCCATCCAAAGCTCGTGGCTCCATGGGGTGCCAATAGAAATCAGAAACTTACTTTTTGTAGAAGCGAAATCTTAGGAAGACTGGTTTTATTGGGAATTAATGAAGTATCTGAGATGATAAAATCCCAGAGTGGGTTTAAGGGCTAAAACCCATGGTCAAACCAATTGTCAATCCAGTGATAAAACCAGATAAAACTACGTAACATTATGACATAATTAACATTGGATAACCACGATTCTAAGACTATACTGAACCATGTTTGAACCATGTTGAACCATGTTGAACCATAATTAGTTAAGCAGCTTCTAACTCTCCATTTCATGAAGATCATCTTCATCTCAGCCAGGCCGACAAGGATGGAGCCGCTGCTGAGCGACTCTTGCAGGCGTGATGTTGGTTATTCCGCTTCATCATGCTGAACATCATGGTTAATTATGGTTGATCATTGTCGAATATGGTTGGTGATTATTAATCATTTTTGTTTGTTATGGATAAACATGGTTTATATAGTCGTGATTAGTCATGATTAATTATGGCAACTCATGGTTCAGTATGCTTAACCATGGTTATATAATTGTGGTTATGTGATTCAATCCTGGTTATTTAATTGCCTTCGGCAAGCCCGCCGGCCATAGAGAGGTGGCCCCAAGGGAGTTTGATGTGCACTCTAGGTGGAAGCCCGCGAGAGAAGCAGAAGAGAAAAGAAGGAGAAAAAGAAGAAGAAGAAGAAGAAGAAGAAGAAGAAAAAGAAGAAGAAAAAGAAAGGAAGACGAAGACAAAGCTGTAAAACGGAAGCGGCTTGTGTAGCAAGTGCTGGCTGTAACAACCTATTGATCGTATACCAAATTAGTACCGTCCCCAGCAAAGTAGCGCCAGGTACTATGTATGAGCCTCTGGCTTGACAGCAGACCGCTGCATGGAAGGAGACAGGGTGGAAGTGGAGAGGTTGCCCAAGGGAAGTTGATGTGCACGCTAGGTGGAAGCCTGAGAGAGAAGCAGAAGAGAAGAGAATAAGAAGAGGAAGAAGAGGAAGAAGAGGAAGAAGAGGAAGAAGAGGAAGAAGAGGAAGAAGAGGAAGAAGAGGAAGAAGAGGAAGAAGAGGAAGAAGAAGAGACGAAGACAGAGCCGTAGATCAGAAGCAGCTTGAGTAGCAAGTGCCTGCTTGAACCACCTATGGACCGCATACCAAATGAGTACTGGTCGATCAGTTTAGTAAAGTACCGTGTGCGTCCTGTGACGAGTACCGGTAGACGACTGTAATGCTGTAGGCAGTGTCATTAGCCGCCGGCACTACCAGTTTAGTACTTGGGGAAGGAGGGTGGAAGGAGTAGAGGAGTAGACGTAGGAGTAGGAGTCGTCGTCGCCGGCGCCTTCGTCGTCGTCGTCGTAGTAGTAGTAGTAGTAGCAGTAGCAGTAGCAGTAGCAGTAGCGGTAGCAGTAGCAGTAGTAGGAGTAGGAGTAGTAGTAGTAGTAGTAGTAGTAGTAGTAGGAGTAGCAGTAGCAGTAGTAGTAGTAGTAGTTGTAGTTGTAGTTGTAGTTGTAGTAGAAGAAGTAGTAGAAGAAGTAGTAGTGGTGGTAGTAGTAGTAGTACTACTAGTAGTAGTAGTAGTTGTAGTAGAAGAAGTAGTAGAAGAAGTAGTAGTGGTGGTAGTAGTAGTAGTAGTACTACTAGTAGTAGTAGTAGTAGTACTAGTACTAGTACTAGTAGTAGTGATAGGAGTAGGAGTAGGAGTAGGAGTAGGAGCAGTAGTAGCAGTAGTAGCAGTAGTAGCAGTAGTAGCAGTAGTAGCAGTAGTAGCAGTAGTAGCAGTAGCAGTAGCAGTAGCAGTAGTAGCAGTAGTAGCAGTAGCAGTAGCAGTAGCAGTAGCAGTAGCACTAGCAGTAGCAGTAGCAGTAGCAGTAGCAGTAGCAGTAGCAGTAGCAGCAGCAGCAGCAGCAGTAGTAGTAGTAGTAGTAGGAGTAGCAGTAGTAGTAGTAGTAGTAGTAGTAGTAGTAGTAGTAGTTGTAGTTGTAGTTGTAGTAGAAGAAGTAGTAGAAGAAGTAGTAGTGGTGGTGGTAGTAGTAGTAGTAGTAATAGTAGTAGTCGTCGTCGTCGTAGTAGTAGTAGTAGTCGTAGTCATAGTCGTAGTCATCGTATAGGCGTCTTAGTCGTCGTAGTCTTTGTAGTCGTAGTCCTAGTCCTAGTCCTAGTCGTAGTTGTGGTGATGGTGGTGGGGGGTGGACTGATTCAGACGAAGCAAAAACGCACAGCAAGAGAACAAACGAACAAGTACAAACCAAGAACAGAAACAAGAACAACACCTTCCAATCAGACACGCCGGCAGGCCGGCGGATTCATTGTTAATTGGCGGATGTAAGCACTCGACTTCGTCATCTAAGTAACCGAGAATTGGGATGATATAATGGAATACACAGCAACAATATGCAATCCATCCATCCATCCATACGTCTACCCATCGATCGATCTATTTTATATCAGTGTGATGTCTTATCTATCCATATTTGAATGTCTTCTTGCTGAGGCGTTGGGGCAGCCAGCGAGGAGTACCACACCACAGGTGAGGGCGGCGTTTGAAACATGGGGGTAGTAACCATGCAATGATCTTTCAATGATACATGACCATCCATCATGAAAAATAATGATTAACAATGATGAATAATGATCAATATGGTGATATTCACCAGCAATCATGGGGAGATATCGGGATTTCTAGGGCCTACCTTAGTGTAGCTATGGATTGTGGTTTGCCTGAAAATGGAGTAGCCGCAATTTCGATGGATCAGAAATTCAATTTTCCCCACGAAATGGCCATAACATGCCATAACTAGGGTGTTTTTATCCCACACCCACGTTTTTTTGGTAGTTTGGAGTGAAATTCTAATAGAGATGGCCAGAGGGAAAACACTCTCATACCACAAGGGGTTCACGGCCGCGGTGAGGCACTGGCGGACTCCATGGGTCCAAAAGGATCTGTGGCCAAGCACTTGCCACCGTTGGTGATGTTGCCTGAAGAGGGCAAGAAGGCACTGGTTTTGTTGTGTAGTGGTGAAATGAAGAGATCGAATCCAATCATGACCAAATTTACTCAACCAGATTTTAAGATGTTTTAAGGGGGTTTTCAGATATTCAATACTGGAAGGGATTGCCTGTCTTGATTCCGCGGATGATCCGCATGAAGAAGATGCTGATTAATTTCAAAATGGAACGGTGGGAAACACAATGCGCAATATGCACATGTGCCAAAGGATCCCAAGGACCATCGTTGATGGATCTGTTTGTTAATCAATCGCTTGTCACGAGCTGCTGATGAGCACAAGGAGCAGGGGGTCAGTGCAGTTGATGGCAGGAAGACGTTCGCACAGCTAGTATCGGGCAAGTGGCTTTCATCTCCGAGTTGCGCGCAGGCCAGGAACGGGGAGGGATTCAAAAAACCGGCTAAGCAGCACGATATGGCAGTAGACTCTTTAGTAGACATATATTCTGCAAACAACTCATTTCATCATCCCGTGACACGCAGAGTCATCGATTGTGCATGGCTAACCAAGGTTCAGGAAGCCTCACAGGATGTTTTGGGCCATGGCCACAGCAGATTTTTCCTAAAGATGGAGGAGCCATGCGGCCATGCGGACCCCAACATTGATGTAAAATCATCCCAGGATATCCACGGTATTGCCGTTTTAACATATTTAACATATTTGAACCCCTTGCGGTGCTTCAGGGGCGCCCCAACTTTAAGAACCACCAGGAGGCAGGCCTTGGCATCCCCTATCAGCCACCCTGGCAGGCTGGTACCACTCTCGTTGTGGCTTGGTAGAGACTGGCCACCTGGCTTGAGGGCTTCAGACTGGGAGTGAGCCGCGTGAACGCCGACCTGCAGCTTTCACAGGTTGCACTCCACGTTTGAATTTTTGGGATATAACTAATATATATATATAATACGTATATATATATAGATATATCAAATAATATATATATAAATACATATTTATAGTATATATACATATATTTATAATACAGATATATATATAGATTATGTGTATTTTATGATGCTTGGTATTCCATAAATAGATGCAGCTGAAAAAACATGCCAGCAATACATCATTACGTGCCAGCAATCTGGATGTTGTGCTTGTCCCTAGCGCCGGAAGCTGGAAGCACCGGCAGCTTATCCATACCTCGTCGCTCAAGGCGACGCGTTCAATGAAATGATGGCTAGAAACAGTGCAACGAGTGGAGGGCATGGTCCGCGGGTATTTTTGCAGTTTAGTGCTGTTATTGTTATCACCAAAAATAGGATTTATTGCAGTACATGTTTGTTGTTTGTTATTTCTTTCAATACTAGGAAACAATGACGTATCCTTGAACATGATCCCTACAATGAAACATGGAACAGGAAGGATGTCTGAACTGCGCGTCTCGATCAATTCTGGGTGTTTTTGTCAACTATAGTCAATGCTACTTCAATCTTGAAAATTCTTGGGTTTATTGATTTTCAACAAGAAAATAACTTTAAGGGATATATTTCCAGACTTTTCCATTCAACATCTTGGAACTACCTTGTTTTTTAAAGCAGTGAGCCGAACGCACACGGCTGCCATTTCGAGTCAATGGGGCAGCTGGCTAGTCCAGCTTGCAGCCATCCGGCTGCTCGACATGTTGGTGCCTGCAAGGGAGCTCAGAGGGAATTCCGGACCGGATTTTGGACAGTGAAAACCAGGCTTTGGGGCTGGCTACATCCCTTGCATACATGTATAATCATATATACATGTATATGATGTAAATGTATATATATATATATATGTATATGGCTATATGCTATATATATCTCTATATCATTCTTTCTATATCTATATATAAATATTATGAAAATACATGAATAAAAATTGATGTGTTCATATATACACACATATAGTATGTATATATAGAACATATTCCAAATGCTACACTCTTTAAGTCGGAAATCAATGAGCCATGCGGGCCCTTCGCCTTCAACTACCCTTCCAAATCCCCTGATCCCCAGGCTCCCGGAGCCATGTTCCCTGCGGGGAACATGGCCATGATGGGCATGACCCCGCCCCCGCCGCCGGCGCAAAATGGATTTGGAAGTATGCAACCAGGCGCAACCAGGGCCGGTTGGAAATCTTGCGAAGCTCGGAGTTTTGATGTTCAAGGTCTCGCTGTTGCCGACTTTGAATGTCAGCACACCTTCCGGCTGTTTTGGTGAGGCGGTTTGTCATCCGACGCGTGCGCCAGTACAGCACCGATCCAGCGCCAGTGCTTGCGTGCCCACATTTGACCCAAGACTATACTCATGGAAAGTGCGAAATGAATCCAGAATATATATATATATATAAACATATACTGATCAGATATGTGTACAGTATAGACCATGTTACATGTAGTACATATGTTTGTATACACACTTATATTTATTTAGATATACATTTGAATTTGAACATGGGATACCCCCCCCAACAATTTCCACTGGATGATTATGATGAAGCTTCGCAGCGCTGGACGTGATGTTCCTTGGAGTTTGATGACTTTTCTATGTGCATAGACGATTGTAGATGTAGAAATCCATATGTCAAAAATATCAATTGTATAATATCTGTATATATCGGTATTTCTAATTCTATCCCTATCTTTTGTTTGAATCCAAGCTTCCTCACATCGGGTGCGCCATCCTTCAGGTACGTTGACAAGCACTTAAGGCCGCTGGATGCAGAGCACTACTCGGCAGCAGGCCTCCTGCCATACCGAAAGAGATCGGACGGCGGAGTAGAAGTACTGCTCGCGCGTCCAAAGCTGAGCACTGGAGATGAGAATGGGATCATTTGAGCAGAATCATGATTAGACACCCAGAAAAGATGCGGCCCAACTGTCAGTTTCAATTTGGAGGGGAAATTACATTTACAAAGTGCCCTGAGATCGAGATCTACTTCTATACAGTTTCCAGGGTTCGTTTTGGTCTGGCGTTTTGTCACTGAGTTTGGGTTTCGCTCCGTGCATATCATGGGAAATATCAGGTTGGATCATGTTGGTACCGCTAGCCAGAGCGCAACTTCGCGAGATAGCCATAGTCGTACAGCAAAAGCTGGCAATGGTGACGACAAGGCACACAATGGACAAAAGACCAGTGCACAGCTGACGAAGCAAACCGATGTATATACATATATACACAATAGTGTATATATGTATATATATATACATATGTATATGTACACATATATATATACACATATGTATATAATTATACATATATATATATATATACATATATATATATATATATGTATATATATATGTACATATATATAGACATGTATATATATATATATGTGTACATATATATATATATACATACACATAATCCTTAAAAAGTATCAAACAGCTATAGTCTCTAATTGTTATCTTCCCGGGAACAACCTCTGAAGGCCCTCTTGCTTTAGCAAGGTACTTGTATGGCAGGGGCTGGTTCTCCAAGCAGTTTCGCAGTGGCTCAATCCACCATGTGGACATCGTCTCCATATTATCGCCGTCAGCATCAGCATCATCAGACTTACTCTCCACTACTACTGCTACTACTGCTACTGCTACTACTACTACTACTTCTACTACTACTAACTGATGATAATAATACCGATGAATCATACCGATTAATAATAACCATTAAAAATCATTATATAATTAAAACGATCATTCATCATTAATAATAACGATTAATAATAATAGTAATAAGAATAGTCACAATATATGGGGAGATATCAGCACCTCTCAGCTTTCTCCATGATCCAAGGTGAGAAGCCATGGAATTCATTTGCAAATGATTATGATTCTCGGCAGCGACGTCTTGGGAAGCGAAGAACAACATGTGAATATACATAACTATCCATGATTATGTAATATTATATAATATATTAATAAGTGTGTATATATATATACTGTAAGTATGTATATATATATAAGTATACTGTATACTGATCATTTTAAACATATATATATATATAAACTGTGGTTTTTCAATGTTTTTCACCTAGTCTTGCGCATTTGGTCCGGTTCTTCCATAGCAAGACATCCCATTGCCGTTGCCAAATCGGCGCTCAGGATCCCATTGCCTGGAACGTTTTTGGCGGCAAGCGGGTCTCACGGCAGGAGTCCGATCCATTTTTCAGTGGATGATTTGGGGGTACCCCCATTTTAGGAAACCTCCACATACCAACCAACTATTGCTTGTCTTGATTTTTAATGGATATGGGGTTGTAGGTATCCAATTAGAATATACCATGATATTATTGATCATATCGGAGACTATCGAGATCCATGAACTGAGACGTTCACTATGATATACTGGTTGGTGGTTTGGAACATTTTTTATTTTTCCATATATTGGGAAGAATAATCCCAACTGACTTTCATATTTTTCACAGGGGTAGGTCAACCACCAACCAGTATATGATTTCCAAAAATGCACCGCCAAATGCAATAGCGCCAGGAACGCTCAGTGGAGGTCACTGCAGTCAGGTGGGTTTCAACCGGAGAAAGGGGTGGTCAGTGCCTCTCTTGCGGGGGATTTCATGTGAAGTTGGCTATAGATCCCCATGAAACAAGATGATCAAACCATGTTAAGCACCCTATTTAATTTGATGGTCCATGATTATTCAAACCGTGCTGCTGCTTTTTCTGTTTGGTCTTTCCAGCAATTGCTAATCCCTGAACTGTTTTCTGTCAGCTACTGAGTATTTGGTGGTGCATTTGATCTTGACAAACCAGCCTCCAGTGCTTGTAATGAGCAGAAGCGCAGCAGGAGTGCTTGACGATCTTTCCCTGCGGCATGTGCATTTCGGTTCTAGTGTGGTTTGTTGCCAATATTTAAAACAATCATCAGACACGCATTCTGGGGATCTTCTTTAGATGTTTCATGGGACCCCTAAAGTGGTGAAGTTGGACAAATGGGCTCTGGGGCTATGATGTGGCAGGTGCTTCCATGAAGCGGTAGGGGACTTCCCCGAGGCGAATGGGTGGAATGGAAGGGGCCAAAACTCAGAGCTGCTTGGTGACTATAGAAATGGGATCTGAACTGCCGGTAGTTTGTGCTTGACTGAGGTGCCTCCAGATGAGATCCTGCACAATCTGATTCCCACAGGTTTCTATTTGTGGTGCGCGATCTGGCGGTTGAAACAGGCGTTTTTTTGTGAGGTAATGATCCCCGAATCCCATGGCCGCTGGCCGGTCAATTACATTCATTCATAGTCAATGTGATGTCATGTGTGTATATATATATGTACTGTACATGTATGTATGTACTGTACTGTACTGTAATGTACTGTAATGTACTGTACTGTACTGTAATGTAATGCAATATAATGCAATGTAATGGTATGGTATGGTATGTAATGTAATGTGATGTATGTATGGATGGTTGGTTGGTTGGGTATGGCATGGCATGGCATGGCATGGCATGGCATGGCATGTAATGTATGTACTGTATGTAATGTATGTAATGTATGTACTGTATGTAATGTATGTAATGTATGCAATGCATGTAATGCATGTACTGCATGTAATGCATGTAATGCATGTAATGTATGTAATGTATGTAATGTATGTAATGTATGTATGGATGAATGAATGTATGCATGCATGGATAATGCATGTAATGTATGTAATGTATGTAATGTATGTAATGTATGTAATGTATGTATGGATGAATGAATGTATGCATGCATGGATGTATGAAATGTAATGTAATGTAATGTAATGTAATGTAATGTAATGTAATGTAATGTAATGTAATGTAATGTAATGGTATGGTATGGCATGGCATGGCATGGCATGGCATGGCATGGCATGGCATGGCATGGCATGGCATGTCTGTCTGTCTGTCTGTCTGTCTGTATGTATGTATGTATGTATGTATGTGTGTGTACACTTGTACACATACATACAGACACATAAATTCCATTCGTGGACCAGCCTTTTTCAGACACCGATGGACCTCTGGGGACGACCGAAGAGGTACCCTCTTGGCAAGATGGCGATGATCCTTGCAGAGGCACGGCGGTCAGATGCCCAAAAAAACCCAACGGGGGTCCCGAGGGGCTCCCCAGTTTCATCGTCCCCAACTATTCCGAATTAGTGGTTATTTTTGGTCAGATTTAGCTTCCTGCCAAAAAAATATGGTGTGAATTTCCAACAAAGATAACTGATCACACATAACATAATTGATCACTTTAAGTGGTACTTTACGTGTGCAACAAAGCCGTGTCACGGCCCTTGGCAACTTGGGGTCCCCATCGACACGACGGAGGTGCCCGATGGCATCATGGACGATCTGCCGAGCAAATTCGCGGAGGCCAAAGAGGCGCGACCCGTTGGGGGAAACCCATGGGGGATGAGGAAAACTGCTGAAGGTTTCCATGGTGAAAAGCGACATAGGTTTGGATAAGATGATAATATATATATAACCCCGATAACTATATAGTTATACTATGGTTATACTATGGTTATATGTTAACTTACGATCCCATCCCTTGTTCATATGAAGCACCCCCTTCAGAAACCATGGGGGATAAAAACACGTATTTGGGACCATGGAATTTTCATGTGATGGTCACGAAAATGATTGGGGAAACCTTTGGTTTGATTGGAGAAACCACATTGACATGGAAAATCACTTAAAAGCATGGTTCTTGCAAATTTATCTTTGTTTTCTGCAGGGTATACATATATGTATGTACATACGTATATATATATATATACACCCTCTGGTAATTTAACATAGCTATTGAACATGCCCATTTATAGTGGATTTTCCCATTAAAAATGGTGATTTTCCATAGCTATGTTAGTTTACCAGAGGGTATATATACATATTCTGTTCATCATCTTCCCCATGAAAATGGCCTGGCCACGTCATGAGGCCGGTCCCAGCGAAGAGTACAGAATACTGCCGATGGGTGTAAAGAAGTGATGAACTCAGTGGCGCTGACGATTTTTCTCGGGTTTGGTGGTTGATAATGTTGATATCACAGACATATGAACCCAGTTAACTGATGCCCAATTTTAATGATTTTTGATATACATCTATATAAAATTGATGATTTGGTAGAATCATGTAGGATCCGATTCTAAGGTAGTGATAAATTCCTACAAGCACTATTTTTTCTTTGTGGGACATTGACGACCTCGATGGATTTCCATGGACTAATAGCCATGATATCAACTCTGTTGGCAACCCAATGCTATAAACATGCTGATGACTTGGGGCTGGTTTTTGCCACCAAAGAGTTTCAATATGTTGCAATCTGGTAGTGAAATGGTACCCCGTAATTAATCAGAAGGGCCGCTCTTTAATTTATGTGTCTAAAGATTCTAAAGGCATTTTCACAAAACACCGTAAGATACATGGAAACTCAATGAATTTTACACCCCCATCAACATGAGAAAACATGAAAAGGGCTTGGTGACATTCCAGCGCTGCTTTGCTCCTGGAAACGATGCCGTGCTGACTTGCTGGGAAGGAGCTGGGATTCAGGGCGCCTTGATGGTGATGATGGTGATGATGATGGTGATGATCATAATGATGGCCCAATAAAGATGCCATCACTGGAATCATGGCAACATACAACATACATGGCAACTGAGGTGGAAGAAACAGATAGAACAGCTCGAATGGGCCCAGCACCAAGAGTCCAGAGTCAAGCTGCAACCATCCAAGCCTGACATGCAGAGTTAGTTCCATCTTCAGGTTCCTGGAGAAGACCTCGTGCCTGAAGCAAAATTCGTGATGAACTTAGTGTTTTCGGCATGGATCTTGAATCTTGAGTGGACGATTCCCACGCTTGCGAATGCTTCACCATTGCAGAGGCCGAAACTTGTTGCTATTCCACTTTGAACCAATCAGTTTCCATAGATTTGCTATGTCTATGAAACTGTGCCCAGACGCTTTTCTTCTTTGAAACCAAGACCAACATGTCATGTATGGGAGGCTGTCAGCGACTTATTGAGTAACATGCTAAAGGCGCTGTCTTGATTGGGAACCTTTGTCCTTGGATCCGGCTGTGGCATTTTGAAGCCAAAGGGTTGGGTCCAGTTGGGCACTGGGTTGCATTTGACCCCACCTGATGTTTTGGTAGGATCGCAGGTTTTGTCCCTGGAACTAGGATCGCAGCAGTGTCAACGCCCTCTAAGACCTGAAAGGTAAGTCCTTACCAGGGGGTAGGGTCGCAGCTGACCTTTTTCTGGAAAAATGTGACGCCAGTCAGCCAGTCCTCTTCAGCTGCCCCCACTTTCGACATGTTGCAGGTTTCCAGATTTCTCGAATTTTTAACTGGAACACTGGATCCGGACACGCTGGCTTGATTGTCGGGTGACTACACTTGAGATTGTGATCCACAGTTCACCCATCTCAATTTAATTGTGCAAAGTCAAGCAGGTTTGTGCAAAAACGTTGACAGTCGAAATGCCAAGGCACTTTGATGCATGTTGACAGGTATGAGGCTTTGTCTGAAAAAAGGTACCCAAGATCAAATATAGTTTATCGTCATATTCCCTATGAAAGTTGCCATAAATTGGGGTGGGGATGGGTGGGGGGGTTATCCCATTTCTGGAGGATTTCATCCTGATGTTTGATGTTTAAAGCACTGTTAAAGTCACCATGTTGACTAGCTAAATTCCCATGAACTCAGGACCATAATCCTTCATGACCAATGGCCAGGCGGAGGCATTCCCCAAAAGCAGTGGAAGGCCACAGCTGGAACTCAGCAGAACCGAGCGATGGAACATCCCTGAACTAATTGGAGCTTTGCTGGGAAAATCCGAACCAACTAAGCCGAGGCCGGTGGAGAATGGCTACAACGGCGGGAAGAGCAAAGGGAGGGGAAAGTCCAAGGCTTCCCTTGGGTGAGAAGCTGATGGATTTCGGTGCTGATAGAGCGATCCAAGTGATATAAAGTGATCTATGGGATGATGAGATTCTATCTCGAAAATCCCATCACAGTCCTATGAGAGAAGCAAAACTGCTGTGTTATCCACAGTGATGCAACCATGGCATTTGTTGTGACTGAGGGGCAAGATGGGGGCCATCACCTGGTATCGGACAAGATGATGATAATCCACTGGATTTAGGGCGACGTTTCCAGGCAAACCCCATCTCTTGCCTGGCTCAGGGGAAAGGAAAGGGCAAGGATGGCAAAGGCAGGGGTAAATGGCGCGTCCCCAAAACGATCAGCAGTTGATGACATGCCATCTTGGGGTTTGACCATGATGATAACCATACAGAATGGGTTTAAGTACCAAGAACGGGGGTTAAACCACCAAAAAGGGTTGCTATATGTTGTTATTCGTAATGGAGAGGTGTTGCAAAAGGTACTTCCGTGACCTCTGTGCTTTGACCCCTTGCGACGTGAGGCTTTGGCAAGATCGCGTCCCCGATGTGTCTTGGTATCTCTGATCTCACAGGACCACCATATCATAAGCTAAATTGGCTGAACGGGTCATGATTCTTCTCAAGTTGCAGTGAGTGTTAAAACTGACTGGTTGGTGGCTTCAAACATATGTATATATATATATATACATACACAAAAATGTATATATTTGTTTCCCTGTTTGTTTCGCTAGTTGAATCTATTTGGGATGATGGTCCGTGACAAAAAATCCAGCTGTGATGGTTTTCCGCCGCAGCCCCAGCCCACTTGGTGATGCTTGTTGTGGTGACGTACTTGATCCCTTTTAGATCAAGGGCAAAAGTTGGAAAACTATGATCATCTATCCCTAAACATGGGGATATCCAGCAAATTTGAAACCAGCATTGAACAGCTTGAACCTATGAGGCTTAATAAAGGAATGCCGATGATGCAACTGGCACCGCCGCCTCGGCTCAGTTGGGATGGTGGATGAAGGTTCCATGCTTGGTACGATATGATATATATATATATGTATATTAAATATATATATATATATGATATAGAACACTATAGAACACTATATAACACAATATCACCCTGTGTAGGCATCTACAAGTTTATATATCTATATACACATTACATGTGTATATATATATATACACAATATAGTACAGATATCGATACATATATATATATATATATGCTACCAAACACCATTCTCGCGATGTGTCGATGCCAGGGCACCGCCTATGCCAATGTACACAGCACCACCGCCATCCTTTCAACCGGGCTCAGAGGACTCCAGTTCTGGTGGGCCAACCCGCAATTCGTGGGTCAAAATGGAAGACCATTAATGGGACCACAGATGTGAATGTCTAGTTTAGTATTAACCATCCATAATTTTGGGGTACCTAATTTTGACCCATACCCATTTGGGTGAACTCCCATCTGTTGATCTCCGAATCGAAGGAGATGCAACGCCAGATGCATGGAGAGCAGCTCTACGTTCTGGCACCGCTCCCAGAGCTCCGGTGCTCGCACTTGGGGATGGCCGGACCAATACCCAATATGGGACCACCCAAATTGGATATTTATGCAAGAACCTTCTGTGGTTTTTGGGATGTTTCGCAGGGTTTCTTGCGGTAGGGCCGGTAGGGCCGTTAGGCTTAAAGTCGGATCAGTTGGCCATGTGTCCTATCAACCCTGCCCGCAGTGTTCTGGATGTATTACTTGCCATGGATAGTTTTTGTTCCATTTTTCTTTTCCAGCCAAGGTTAGGACCCATATCTGAAACTGTGATGATGGGATGGATGATGGGTGAAGCGGCAGCAACCTCTGGATATATATCTCTGGATGCTAGGTCCTGCCACTGGCGCCCAGCCCATACCTGGCGCAAAAGATCACAGGCCAAGTGAATTTGGGCGAAATTCAGGGGGTTTTGCCCATAGATGGACGATTTAGGAGCAACTTTTTGGCAGACATGGGGAACATGACATGACTCGAGAAACCATGAGGCTGGAATGGGGACCAACGTTTTTGGACAAGCCCATGATGGGAAGATTGTCACCTTGAGACGCAGCTGTTGGTTTGGGATGTCTGCACCCCGCAGGTATGTTGCTTGAGCTCCCTCCAAACGTCTCCAGCTCAGCGTCCTCCAAACGTCTCATCCCATTTTGGGGATGAAAATCCTTGGCCGCAATTTGGGGCCCAAAATTTCGCCCCAGCATCAATTCATCATCTTCCCCACTAAAATAGTCTAAAATCGCCAATTTGGGTATCATCCGTTTGGAGACACACCGGTTGTTTCATGGTTAATATCCCTATAATATCCCAACATGATACATGCTCCCTATATACGTACATACACTACTGTATACACACATATGCAAATGCATCATATGTATCATAGAATATCATTATAAATCCCCATGATTGCTGGTTGACAGCCCATTCAAAACATCAACACCACAGCCATAGCCGGCAACTGAATTCGGATACCAAGGAGTTGATGCTGAATTTGACGGATCGAGAAGAGCTTCAACATCGAGTCCAAGAGGAGAGTTAGATTTTCAATGATTTTCAGTATAGGAACCCCGAAACAGATTCGAAAACAGTTGATTTTTGCCACCATTTTGTGGACATGGATTTTACTGTTCCATCCTTTTGAATAGGCGCTTGAGGTCCTGAAGGCCGATGGCGTTGCCGTCTAGGCGCGACTGGCTAAAATTCAAGGTCGTTGAATCAAACAAAAATAGCAAGGCATCATAAGACATCTGGGATTTTACATCCAGCAATTCGATTCTGCCACCGAAACCATCGGATTTTCCCTACTTGGAGTATTTGGAGTGGTATCAGAAATGGGATTCTACTACCAAAACATCGGATTTGACCTACCAGATCATGGGAAACTAGGCATAGGCTCCCCACAAGAACAAACTTGGACCATTGCTCAACCTCCTGTCTCCTATCAGGTTTCGACAATCATGGACCCAACATAAATTGATCAAGAGTGAGAATTTGATTTATGATGATTTATGTAAATATATAATTTTATTTATACATATATACACATGTATATGTAACATATTATACAAGTAAATTGTAGAAAATAGAAAATATATTGTATTACTTAAATCTAATCATTGTAACCCCAAGTGATAGTGTCTTTTTCCCCGGTTTGCCGTCCCAGGTGTCAAGAGCCATGAGAGCCGGGGGGATCCTGTGCTCGCAGGAAATCGATTTTTGAGTCGCAGGAACTCCGCAGCTGCGACTGGGACGGCTGGGGTTACAGCCTGGAAATTTCAGCAGATCTACACTGGAGTCGCATCCCCAAATGGTTGGTTTATGGCATTGGATCTGCCACATTGCTCTGTAAGTCAGGAGGGTTAGTTGGACATCCACAATGGGGTTGTCAATGGTGACTGAATTTTGATGTCTAATGGGAAAATGGTGGTAAACCATTGGATTTTGGGCGTAGCCTATTTTGAGATAAACCCAACTGGGTGGCAAACCAAGACCATCCACAACGAAGATTTTGGCATTTAGATTGGATGATTTTCCCAGCTAGCCACGTTTAAGGGCACCGGAGGGTAACATCTTTTTTTTCACGTCTTTTTTCATGCTTCTCACATTTTATGCGGGTTTCCTAAGTCATGGGGCTTTTCCCAGTTATCAATAGTTATCATCCATTTTATAGATGGATTTTCCATGATTTTTCCATGATTTTGGATTCCATTACCCCCAGTTATCATCCATTTCATTGGATTTTCCATGATTTTCCGATACTCATCCAGCTATTGGGGTAGCCCCATGACTCGACCATTTTTTATGGTCACCCTTTTCGGTACCCAGGCTACCCAGGCTTCGATCCACAGCCCTGTGAATGATACATGGAGTTGTGTCAAAAAAAGGGGACCCCCCATATTAAACGACAGGCAAAAAATGAGGGACTTGATGATCATGCCTGTCTATGTCCAGCTTTTTGAAAGATTCAACCATTCAAAGATTAAGTGCTGATGTAGCTGAAGGGAACTCCAGTCTGTCCCCAGTCTTGGTTGTCGGGCTGCATCTCCGGTAGTCGTAGCTCATATGATGGACCCAGTCACCTGCGACGGGTGAAGTATCGATGTCAGATTGGTTGTTGACTGCCCTGGTACTTCGGCAAATCGGGTCACTTTGAACATCTTTGAGCAAAGTTCCTGAAATTGTGACATACTGTCGACTAACAGTATTGCAACAGTTGCAAGACGAAGCGACGAAGCATCCTATTTCGAAAGCCCGCTGAAACATTGGGAGCTCCGCAACTGTTTGACAGTGAATTTGCAGTGCGTTCACTTGATTGATCCTTGCGAGGGAAGATTCAGGGGCAAGGGTGGAATGAACATATTTTCCAGGCATGATGGCAAATTGTCAGCAGCACCATGTGGAATCTTTCAGCCTTGAAGTCCTCAAGCGGCTCCGTTTCGTCACATTGAGTGCTGTTCATAGCTCCAGATATTGCATACCGATCACAATCCGATCAAGAATGCTTTGGAGTTGACCAAACATGTCAATCTTCACACGTCCATGGTGCTGTTCCAGGGTTCGGGTAAGAGAACAGTAGCAGCCTTGCTGGTAGCATCAACATGTGCGTCAGTTGCGTTTCTTCATTTCCTTCCATAAATGGGTGAATGGTTGCACCATGCGCGCCTTCTTCGGAGGTTGGGGGAACTCAGCCTGGCAGTCATAGGATTGTATCGGAGAGGGGCTTGTAAGAGGAACATCAATCAGTATGCATGTCCTTGCTACTGGAAGAAGATGATTGCATATTGCATATGATTGCGGAATATTGCGGAATCACATTTGCAGGGCATAAGAAGAGAAGGTTAAGATGCGCTTCAGAAGACGGTTACTCGATGATATGATATGACATGATAACTTGCACCAAATCAGAAAGTGTTTACAGATGTGCTTGGTGTGAGCTGTTCTGAGGTACAGATGATGCCAGCAGTGCTGCTTGCTTAGTGGTCACTGCTGTGACCAAGTTCATCCTAACAAATGCAATGGCTAAGCATGGCTAAGCCAAGACATTCGTTGAGAGCAAGAGGACCATGACAATCAAGGACGTGTACACTGTCTCGAATTTGTGTTGGTCACACTAACTCAAAGTTTATGCAGCGGAAAGAACATGGGGTCAACAATGGTCCAAAAGTCCGGCCAGATGGCATAGAAAGGAACGTTGCATAAACCATACAAAACTGGGATCCCATATATAACTGGGGTATAATATGCTAAGGTTATTGATCAAAACAGCCCAAAAAACCGAGGACTCCAGCGAAGAAGCCGCAAGGCCGGTGACAAGGCCCCCAGAACAAGTCCCGTTGAGGAGCGATGCGAGCCTGGAATGATGATCTAAAAAAATCAGTATCAATTACTACTGTATGGTACGATTACCATGATGAACATAGTATAACATACTAGAACATAGGATAACATAGTATAACCAGTATAACACACTCTAGAACATAATATAGCATAGTATAACATAGTATAACACAGTATAACATATTAGAACATAGTATAACATACATACTCTCAACTACTAGAGGGTCTAACATGGTCTGCTTAGGGTCCATTTTCCAAAAGGTCTGACATGCCTTGAATTCAGTTTAGACCCTCTCCAGATACCATGTCAGACCCTTGGAAGCACAGAAGGAAATTCACTCTAGACCTTTTGGAGAAAGTAATACAGAACTTCATGTTAGACCCTGTGAAGGGATGTAAAGGATGAAAAATCATTCAGAACATGTGGCCACCGAGAACTCAAACTGGTACCAACATCTCTCAACATGTCTCAACCACATGACTGCTGTCTTAAGAGAAAAGACATCGCTGGTGAAAATTGTTGCAACTTCCATTTTGACACCTTGCCATCTGGGAGTTGGACCACTAGAATCTGAAGGCTTCCCATCACCTGAAGTTGGGGCGTGCATTACATGTGAGGGTCTGACATGGTGTTTCCTGAGCCATCAATGTTGAAACCATGCCTGACATCTTGGGTAACACCATTTCAGACCCTTCAACTCCATGAAAAATCATTCAGAACATGTGGCCACCGAGAACTCAAACTGGTACCAACATCTCTCAACAGTCTCAACATGTCTCAACCACATGACTGTTGTCTGAAGAGAAAAGACATCGCTGGTGAAAATTTTGCAACTTCCATTTTGCCACCTTGCCATCTGGGAGTTGGACCACTAGAATCTGAAGGCTTCCCATCACCTGAAGTAAGGGCGTGCATTACATGTGAGGGTCTGACATGGTGTTTCCTGAGCCATCAATGTTGAAACCATGCCTGACATCTCGGGTAACACCATTTCAGACCCTTCAACTCCATGAAAAATCATTCAGAACATGTGGCCACCGAGAACTCAAACTGGTACCAACATCTCTCAACAGTCTCAACATGTCTCAACCACATGACTGTTGTCTGAAGAGAAAAGACATCGCTGGTGAAAATTTTGCAACTTCCATTTTGCCACCTTGCCATCTGGGAGTTGGACCACTAGAATCTGAAGGCTTCCCATCACCTGAAGTAAGGGCGTGCATTACATGTGAGGGTCTGACATGGTGTTTCCTGAGCCATCAATGTTGAAACCATGCCTGACATCTCGGGTAACACCATTTCAGACCCTTCAACCCCATGAAAAATCATTCAGAACATGTGGCCACCGAGAACTCAAACTGGTATCAGCATGTCTCAACATGTCTCAACCACATGACTGCTGTCTTAAGAGAAAAGACATCACTGGTGAAAATTGTGCCATCCTGCCATCTGAGAGTTGGACCACTAGAATCTGAAGGCTTCCCATCAACCCTGCTGTGCTGGACTGCTGGGTTTCCAGGATGTATCAGGATGTCCTTGTGCGTGCTGTTCGCTCACAGTAGGTGTTCCAGGTCCCTATGGAAGGGTCTGAGATGTTTGCAGGTAAGTTGTGGAAACCCATAGGGTTTTCCATTCCAGACCCCATGTCAGACCCCACCAGGAGGGTCTACAATGAAGATTCATATGGTCCCTAGCTAGTAGTTGCCAGGATTAACATACTAGAACATAGTTATATTATGTTATATTAGCATTTTCAAAAGAAAGTCATCATTACAACTTTACAACTCACTAAGGAACCCAGCCAGCACACCTTCCCAGGACTCCTGTGGCCATCGACCTCAACAATGATGGCAAGGCGGCGATTTAAGGATTGGTCATGATTGGTCTATCTATTGAAGGATATCATATGTATACATATATATATATGGGTGTTGTCTATAAATAATCCTTACCCTCTTAAAAATGGAATTTGAGGGGGGGAGTCGTACTGAAATTTCATTTTAGAATTCCATTTTTGCAATCATGTTTTCTCAATGATCAATATTCCTCATCATTCCATGTCATTGGCAAGCAGATGAAAATTAAATACTTGCGCTTAGCTCCGGAGGAGCCAAACACATATCAGACTGAAGCAGCACATGTGTAGGGATGGCATCCCTCCAAAAATTGCGCTGCCGTCATCATACTTGCGCTTAGCTCCGGAGGAGCTAAGCGCAAGTATTTTCTAACCAGTGCCAAAGGCTTGTTAAGAAATGTTACTTTATAATTCCATTTGAGGGGGTGGATCACTATCCCAGGGTTTCCAAGCAAAAAAAATGTGGAATTCGACAGGTTGGTTTTGTCCCT